GGGGCAAAGAGAGGGGCGCGCTTCTACATACTGCACAAGAGGAATTAAGGTTGAGTCTATCGCGAGGGTATTAGGCGCGCCTCGCGGGAAAATCGTTCCCTCTCTCTCTCTTTTGCAGCTTCACCGCCATTGTCTCAGGGTCACGTTGGACATACTCCGTACAGTATAGAGAGAACACCAGCCACCCACTGCGGGCCCGGTCGCAGCCTTCTTTTCTGGTTTCTGTTCCCCATTCGCTGCAGAAATCTTGAGCAAGTTCAAAGTCACAGATTCTGGAACCCGATTGGGAAGGCGAGAACCTCTCAAGGCGGAGTAGTCGCAGACTTGCATCTCGTCTGGATTGAGAGGTGATCGGCAAGACGCAGGTAATCGTAGGTGGTTAGGCCGAGTAATTGCCTACATTGCCTCAGTTGCATGTTGCGCAGAATCGCCGTTCTTGGGACGGTGTGGGTGCAACTGCCGAAGTATTGGCGGCAGCCTCCGGGAGAGTGAGGATGGTAGCGTGGGATGGAGCGGAAGGTTGTACGCGGGTCGCTTGGGGTCTAGATCCCGAGGTACATTGGCATACGACGGTGTTGTGACCGTTATGCATGTGTGTTGTCACGATCGTCTGGTTTGCTTCCTCTTGTGAACTACACGCTTCCAGTTGCTCCCTGGAATATGTGCTCCAGGTTCTGGTTGGCTGTTGCTCAGAATCTCGTCAACTTGCATGCTGTTGAACATGCCGCCCTTGGTATGTCTGGTTCGCCCAGAACTACGACTAGTATCTCAGCAAGTGGGAGTTTTCATCAGCTTCGGACACGATATCACTTCTATCTTGACTTGGTCGTCCCGCTATGAAGAACTCGCGATGTCTGGCGTCGCTGTCGACCTGTATTGAGTCGGCTCAACAGACGTGACACCGTTTCTCTCGTCAATCACATCAGGTCTCGTGCTCAACGTGGCTAAGTAAGCAAGAAGACAAGGTGCCAACCGCTGTATTGTCGAGACTCGTCAGTCTATGTATCAGTCTCGTCACCATTCGCGGAAGTCCAACTCCAGCGTCTGGGTCCCCAGTTTCTGCGGCATACGAGGTCATGTTTATATGGAACCCATATAGACATTCTGAGAGGTGAGAAATGCATCAATACCAGGAAATGCTTTGCACTAAACACCAACAGGACAGAATCCAAGCTCATGTCCTGCAGTCCAATACAACGGAATGGCCGTGACTGGTCATTTGTCTCTGGAAGCAACTTCTATCCCATCTGTAGACTCTGTTTCCAATTTCCTCGCTGCAGCGTCTTCCAATGTTCCGAATGTACTGCAGAGCATTTTCAGCACTTCCGTTTCAGCGCTCCAAGCATCTAGACCCACGGCTGTGCCCTCCAAGTGTGACGCAGATTCAGACTGGCGACGGTCTTGTCAAAGCCTCTGGAGCCATTCGGTACTTTTGTGGTCTGATGCGAAGAGACCAGCGGCACAAAGGGCACCATCGTCTTATGCTCCTAGATCCCACTCGAGGACGTGATGTACCATGTTGTGCAAACCCGAGAGGAATGCCGCTTTAAGTAACGATATGATACTGTTAGTTTTACATGACAAGTCCATGACAGTCGCAATACAGGATAGGTATGTTCGACGAGAGTCCAGTTGTTTAGGATCATGTCCATTTGAGCCCAGGCTTTGGCACCGGATTGAAGGAGAATGTCAACCAGAGGTAGACTGCCCAGCGTCACGGTCCTCATCATAGCGGAAAGCCTTTTGTCCATGGGCTCTTTCAAAGAGAGGCCGGCATCTTCGAAGCGTTTCAAGACTTCCGTCAGCTTTGAATCGCAGTCGTTATCAGGATGTTGTACGCCAGTCCATACTCATTGACTCAGAAGTTCGCCAAACCCCGTATATGAGAGGCTTGGGTCGGCACCAGCATCCAGAAGCTAAATCGCGAGATGTTCTTCATATTCCAGAGCCCAGGACAGTGGCGTGAACATACGGAAGGAACGCCTGATCCGTACATGTAAGGGTTTTGCTCCACGAACAGCATCCAAAACATGAGCTTCTTTGGTCTTTTCATTTCGAAACCCCGTGGAGTCCAATCACCCTACTCCTTCATTATACTGGGTGTGTTCCGGAACAGCTTCTCAAGGAATGCATTGGTTGTTGAACCTGTTGTTAGACCTGTTGTTTCCCCAATCGCATGTTTCGAACTCGTAATGCCGGGACTTTCGAGCACGGCAACAAATCGACTCCAACTCTCAAAGTGGGATTGATCCTTTGATTTATCTTCCATATTGTTCGACATACGATATATAAGGATTTCATGATATACTTGTATTATCAGTCGGTTTGGGACTTTGAGTAGAGCTTACGTCAGACTAGCATTCTCGTCATCTTCCGTATCGGGCATTATGAAACCAAATTAGGCGGCAAGGGGAGCGATGCCTGATCTGATACTTGATTCGGATAGATCAAAGATCTGCGACACGTTGAGATCTGCGGGATATCTCGAAAGACCGCGAGCTCGAACTACTCTGAGGAATCTTAACGAGGTGAACATCAAACATTGATCCTAGGACTTCTTACGCCCTGCGAAGTTGGTATGGAATTGCAGCTAAGGAAGGCTTTTTGGCCAGGAAGACTTCATAGGGAGTGACGCTGGCGTACAGATCGAGATGTTTAACTCTGGAGGTGTCTGGGGGCTTGTAGGCCCTACAGATAGAAGTCTTTGGTAAAAATAGGAAAGATGCGTAGTATACATTCCTACCATGCTGGTATTTCACCAGAGAAGTTCGCTGATGTCGAATTCTCTCCTTCCTGACCTTGGCTGGCTTGATGACTTCCCTGACTTTGCCTTGTTGCTCCCTCTTGGCAAGCCGTTCATCGACAAAATGCCACAAGATCTCGCTCGTATTCTTCGGGATTCTCCTACAAAAACCCCAGACCTTCAGCCTGCACTCAACCTGCGATTTTCTCAGACGTGTGAGCAGCTGAGAATGGAGATACTGCTGTCTTCACTTGCGTTACAGGGAAACCCTCTTCCCTTAGTTTCCGTATGATTCCGCTAAAGGACTTCTTCTCGTGGATGAACATCACTCTTTGTATAAATACCGCCTCCTAAACGATGCCATCTTAATATTAAGCTGAGATTCGGTGGTTGGTCTGATGGGAAGTCTGCGCTTCTTGACTGATAGTGTTTTCTATTGTCAGGGCTCGATTTTACATATTTCAAAAGAGGAAGAGAGGAAGAGAGGAAGAGAGGAACAGTGGAACAATGGAATAATGGAATCGTGGAATCGTGGAATGGTCGAATCGTGGACAACGACCCCTGTTGTCATGAAATCGATTTCATGACAACAGGGGTGGATGGTGGAAAGGTGGAATAGTGGAATGGTGGAAGAGAGGAAGAAAAGAAAAGAGGAAGAGAGCCAAGTCTCATAACTAAGGATTGCCGCATCTTAGCGCACCTCGTCTTGGTTAGTTGAAGCCGATATTTGAAAAGGCAAGGAAGCTGACAGCATCAGTAGGATGTTATTGGCCAGAGCCGCAGTCTGACAACGCATATGTCGTGTGTGACCGCCGACCGGCTCGCGCCGTGCATATGCGCATATGCACCAACACAGCCCGACGTAGATGGGTCTGCTAAGACCAGACGTGATTAGGTGAAGCCAGTATCTGAATATGCGTCTGTAGTGTGCTCCAGGATCTCTTCAATGTTACACATAGAGGATTTCGCGTTTCACAGTCTTGCGTCTGTTCATTAGGAGGAGATCTGCCTGAACACTCCCGGTTGCTCAAGCCGCAGTCTGAAAAGACGATGGTGGTGGCGGATACACACCGGGCATGCGTATCTGTCGGGGCCCCAGGAAAACACACAAGAATCTGGAGGATCGAATGCAAATGGGTCATCTAATTCGTCAGAACCGCAGTCGGAAAGTCTAGCTCAAGCAAGGCATCCGGACTGCTTCCTAGATATCGAATGAAAGACAAGACCATCATGGCCCATGGTCTCGTATATAAGAGGACAACATGAAGGGAGCCTCACGTTGTCTTCTCTAAGACGACCCTGACTTTTGAGCTTTCTTGTATTCTATACACAGTCATTATTCCGACACAAATTCTCCTAGGATTCGGACATTCGCATCCTCAGATCAGAACTCTTATACACAATAAGCTATGGAAATGACCCTTGAGGCCATCATTGCCATCGTGGCCCTGATTGTAGGGTCACCACCTACATGCTTCATCATATGGCGATCTTGCATTCGTAGGAGAGAGAGGTCGACCCAGGGTTAGGATGGCCCGAGTCCAAATCTTGATCAAGTCTGATGCTAATATGAGATGAACCAGCTATAATCCCACTATACCGACCTCACACGATCACGAATACTGGCTCCCCTCACTACGGGCAATCTTTCGCATCTTATTCAATATGGAAATCTCGGACAATGTCAGCTTTCGAAATGGAAATGAATAGGCCCTCTGGTGACGAGCATGCTTCTTGGAACGGCTGGTCGATCGGAAGTTCCACCTCGTATCATTTGGGAGGCCACCATGTTTAAGGTACCTACCTTATGGGAAGAGAAGGGCAAGACCTATTCATAAGACCTGGATGCGTGGAGAATGGCTCGTATTCGCTGGCCATTGTCTTTTTTAACTGTCGCAGGGTTCAAGAAGCCTACCATCCATATAGTGGTTCAACAAAGTCCGGCAAAGACGGGGGGCTATGGCAAAAATGGGATTTATACATGTTCATACCTTAAGTATATCGAAGGGCTTCTGACTTGTAAAGCAAAATATGTATTAGCACAACCTGGTTTCGATCCAGGGACCTCTGGGTTATGAGCCCAGCGCTCTACCCCTGAGCTATTGTGCTTATGCTTGTATTTTGTATTGATTGTCAGCCTCCGCTGTTTCTAGTCAAGAAGGGCCAGTGGGGAGAATGAGTCATTCCTGGCTAGTTTTTCGGTTGCCTCGCTCTGCTGTGGAAATATTCAACATGTGATCCAAAGTCGAAATGGTTGGCGACGAGGATGGGGACAGAATGGGGACAGAATGGGGCAGACGAAAGAGAGGGTCTCGTGAGATTGCATCGTCTTGGACCAAAAAAAGTTCGAGGGGGTATCGCCTCCACATCCTCCGTCCTGTCTGTTGTCGGACTCTCCCAAACAGGAGTAGGCACTCTTTAAACGACATCGGTAGTATTACAACAACAATAACGCTCAATCATCGAACCCCTCAAACTCATCATCCTTTCCGTCAGCCGCCTCCTTAGCCTGGTTCTTCCTCCTAATCTCCGCAATCATCTCGTTCAGCTCCATCGCCTTGATCTTTTCATCCTCGGTCATGGTCGACATCCGCTCAGCCTCCCTCTTGCGTCTCCTCTTATCGCGGCGCTCCGTCCGCACATCGTCCCTCTCAGTCTGCTTGCTCCACGCCTCGTTGGTCTTCCGCTTGCGCTTCACCTCGTCTGCCGCGGCCGCCTTCTCGCCGTTGCGCTCCGCCTCAGCCGCCGCTAGTCGTGCCGCCTCCCTGGTCTTGTCCTTGTAGGTGAAATTCTCCCAGTCAAAGTCTTCGTTCCCGAGCCACTTGTCCCCCTCCCAATTCTTCGTCTCGGGCATGCGCGGCAGGCGCAGCAGACCCCATGCCTTTCCAAGGTCTGCCCAGTCGAGGTCCTTGACGCGGAAGATGGATGTGGTCAGGTGGGCATTGTAGCTGCGCACCCAACTCACGAATGCCCTTTGCGCCTTGTCGTGGTAAGCGCGATCGCTTCGAAGGACGTCACGGAACTTTTCTGACGCCTCGTTGGCTTCTTCTTTGGTGATGACGATCTCGGGTTTTGTCAGGGGGAAGATGGGCGTCTTGCGGACTTCCAGGAAGGGAATGTAGTCCTCCTCGTGACCAGGCTGCAGAAACACGACCGACAATCCCTTTCTGCCAGCTCTTCCGGCACGTCCACTCCTGTGAATGAAAACCTTTGGATCTGAAGGAGGATCGACCTGGCAGACAAAGTCTACCTGCGGGATGTCGAGACCTCTTGCTGCAATGTCCGTGCACAGCAACACAGATGGTGATACTGAGTTGACGAACTTGTTGAAACTCTTCTCTCTTGCCTTGGGAGGGAGCTTTCCGTGCAGGGGCACGAGTGTGAAGCCTGCTGGCATGATGGTGGGTAGGACGTGCTGGAAGTAGTCGACGGCAGCGCAGGACGACAGAAAGACGATGCTACGTTGTGGCCGCGGGTTCAGGTTCTCGAGGATCTTGCTCAGTGCCGGGAGCTTCTGGCTTGCTGGCGTGACGAGGTACGACATTTGCAGGCTGATTGGCGTTTTCCGGTCTTCAATGATTCCCCCATCCTTCAAGCTCTTCACCCGGACGGCAATCTTGACCGGGTTTCTCAGACCGACGGTGATAATCTGTGACACTGCCTCCGAGACCGAGGCGCTGAAGAGGCCTGTTCTTCTCTGCTTCGGCAGGTATCCTAGGATCCTCTGAATGTCCTGTTTGAAACCCATATCCAGCAGACGATCCGCCTCATCGAGAACCAAGAGCTCGAAAGTGGAAGATGTGCAGTGGACATGCGGGGATGCGAGGAGCTCGACGAGTCTGCCCGGTGTCGAGACCAAGACGTTGGGTGCGTGTCTGACAAAGTAGCTGAGATCTTGTTGTGTCGTGGTCACTCCGCCGACGAGCAACTGAGGAACGATGACGGGCACCGTCGTGTCGGGGCGCTTATCATCTTCTTTGAGGTAGGGTAGAATCTCAGCGGACGGGGGGTGAAAGCCGACGAGGGACTGGAGGATAGTGTGGATCTGGATGGCGAGCTCGCGGGTCGGGGAGACGATGATGGAGAAGACATGGCCGCGCTTCGTCGGTTCGGAGAGGCGCATGAGCTTCTGGACTATCGGGAGGAGGAAGGCAAGCGTTTTACCACTGCCGGTAACAGCCTGAGGGTATTATCAGCCTTGAGTGTCTGTCAGGACAATTCTGATCACTGTTACCTCTACTACAACGTCCTTATTACCCAGGAACTGCGGCAAACATGCTGCTTGGACGGGCGTCATGCGCTGAAAGCCCTGGCTGGACACGAAGTCGAGTATCCATCTGCGCGAATGTCAGCGGGGTGGAAGAGTGGAAGCAGAGCGCAGAGGGTCGTACTCAGCCAGAGGAGGCGTAAGACCTCTCCAGGCCCTGGGGTCCTTCTTCTTCTTCTCTTCGGGCGCCATGATTTAATTGGCCTAGAACAAATATCGAGAGGACGTCGGGCGAAGCGAAGATTTGCGCCGCGTAAGGTACGACTTCGATGCCGTCCGAGCTGGAGGGGCTGGATTCCCAGAAACTTTTTTCGTTATCGCTATCGGGATGGCACCTTATCTTATCGGCTATCGGGAGGTAGATCGTAAGGTAGGAAGTGCTCACGTGGGGCAGGTAAGGTAGTGACAGGATTCGAGGCCTCCTTGGCGCCATGTCTTGTCCGACCGCCCACGGACGAAGCCAATGTGATATCATCCCGACGACCCCCAACTGTCCTCAGCCACTCGCCTTGATATCCCGCCCAAAACTTCCAGCCCATTTCACAAGCGCACCACAATTCAGCGGTCAGGAAACCAAGGCAAGCACACTTGCATATCTCCTGTGCACGTACCGAGTACAGGCTGCATACATAGGCAGGCCGGCAGCGGAGAGACGAGATGAAGTGCGCCGGTCGAACCCGCCCGGCGCGCAGACAGGAGGATCCACGCCTGAGAAGGACATGGAACCGGCGGGACAGCCGGAGAAGGCTTCACATGCTTGCAGAGGTAGCGCAGCCCACTGAGAAGGGAAAGGAGGGAAAATTTTGAATCGTGCCCTTGAAAAGCCCCTGTCAAATGGCCTTGAATGCAGCGGTGCGCCCGACAGGCCGTCCCTTCCTGGCTAGTGTAGTCGCGTGCACCGGACATTTTGGAGCGGGATTCGGGGCGTGCGTCATTCGGGCCTCAGCACACTGTGCTGCGGGTTGTGAAGAATGTGGTTCATCCCGGCCGGCGTTGTCTTTGGATGATTCTAATTTGGAGGATGCGATTATCTCAGAAACCCTCTGAAAATCTCTGAAAATCCTATTGATTAATTATCTGACTTCAAAGTTAGAGCGCAGATGAATAAATAAAGGGAGACGCTCTTCTACGTATGTGAGGAATTCCGAGACGAAGGTACTTTCAGTAAGGTAATTAGAGAAGTTCTGCCAAAAGATAAGACATGGCTTGTCAAAGCAACAGTGCGGCCGGTTCCCGAGCACCGTCTGGATTTGTTGCTGCAAGTACTCGGTACCTGGGTCCGCGAAAAATCCTCTCCAAGGAATCGGCAGACTCGCAGCACAACAAGACACCGACGATCCGGTCCAAACACCTCGTCCTTAAACACATGTCACGCTGTCTGCTGACCGACCGCATGTCTCCGTGGTCCTCCTCCTCACCCCCGTACCAACCCGGCTCAACATGCGGCGGAGTTGCTCTCTGCTGCATCCTCAAACATCACCCTGGATCCAATAGCGCAAGCAGCTTCCAACCTCGAACCCCAGGCCCGGCCGCATAGCCATCATAATCGCTGCGAACCCTTTGCCATCTTCGACACCCACGCCCGCGCCGACTCCGACTCCGCCTCACCTCCCCTCCCGCCCCACGACTCCCGTCTATCTAGAAGAGACAGACACCTCCACTCCTCACTGTGGCCGTTTCGAAGACTCTTCTTCCCCTTCCGACGCCTCTTCACCGGAGCAGTTGCCTGTCCATCTCTCCCGCCCTTTCCCTACAACATGTCGTCTGTCCGCGCCATACCCTCTACCCCGCGGGTTATCTCCCCCAGCCCGACACCCTCAGAGATTGATGCAGCGTCACAAGATAACTATTTTGGCCCGGTGACGAGATCCGCGGCCAAGAAGCGGCGGACGACTCCCCAGCCGCTGGAAGAGCGGGCAGAGGAGGATGACTACGAACCTTCGACAATGCGTAGGTCGCGCACGAGAAGTCGGTCGCCCATCGAGTCCCGCCGAATCACGCCCATGACCACGGTCAAGTCGCAGAGCAAGAGAGGCAAATCGCCCATCATCCCGAGCGAACCGATCACGAAGGAGGTCACCGTCGACGGTGAAGCGAACGGCAACCCCAAAGTCGCGACCACCAACGGCCACCTGGCCCCTCCCTCTGCCGCTCCCACTGGATGGAGCTGGCGGGATTTCAGTCGAAGCCCGAGCCCGCTGGGTTTGATACCGATTCACAGGAAGTGGCGGACCTTTGTACACAAGCACGAGGTGCCCAGGAAGATCTTGCATGTCTCCATCGGTTTCTTCACGCTGTGGCTCTACGTTTCGGGCATCCAGACAAGCTCAGTCGCACCGTGGCTCTTTGCTGCGCTGATGCCCATCACGACCGCCGACTACCTCCGTCACAACTACGCCTCCTTTAATCGATTTTACGTCTCGGTTCTCGGCGCGCTGATGCGCGAGAGCGAATATGACGGATGGAACGGTGTCATCTTCTACCTGCTCGGCGCATGGATCTCAATGCGCTTCATGCCCAAGGACGTCGGCGTGATGGCCATCCTTCTGCTCAGCTGGTGCGATACCGCTGCCAGCACCTTTGGACGCATGTACGGCGCTTACACCCCGCGCATCCGTCGCGGCAAGTCACTCGCAGGCTCTACAGCCGCCTTCCTCGTCGGCATCGCCTCATCATACTTCTTCTGGGGATGGCTCGCACCGAGGACAGGGCCTTTCCCCGGCGACGAGAATTATCCCTTCATGTTCACCGGAGCACTGCATCTACCCCGCACCATCGCAAGCGCCGTGGGGCTTTCGGACGCTCAGGCTACCATCGCCGGACCGCTAGCGCTCGGAGTCATGGGTCTGTGGTCTGGATTTGTGGCGGCCGCCAGTGAAGTGGTGGACATTTTCGGCTGGGACGACAACCTGACCATTCCGGTCCTCAGCGGGGCTGGTATTTGGGGATTTCTCAAAATCTTTGGCTAGAAGGCGGGATCCGTGGGGAATTAGACGGGCGGAGAGAACTTTCACTGGCTTACCGACGAGGCTAGTGCACCAACGGCAATCAGGATTATCAAGAAGGAGGGAGTAGGTGGTTGGGAAAAAGGCGCGTCCACTGCCTCGTATAAACGGCTGGCATGGCGTTCTACTTTGCATGATGAATCGGCGTTCATATCGCATCCACTGGGATAAGAGGCAGCGGATGGGCGGGGGCATGGTATAACATGGCGCGTGAGGACGGCCGGGACGAGGGAAAATACCATCATCACGACGACGGGTATTTTCATGTTCAAGTCTGTGCACCTTATTTTTCTGCTCCTTTTTGACGCGAATACAGCAACGGAATACAGCAACGGAATCCTGGGTACGAAATCAGAGAACGTGTGGAGGGCTGACGTCTAAGCCAAAGGTATATATAATGGTGGCTGCTATTACATGCAAACGAAAAATATCACAACTTTCCCCCTTCTTACACTTTTGGGCCCCTCCCCCTCGTCTCTGTCGACCCCTCACTTCACCCATCTGACATGCATTTTCTTGCGCGATGATACCGATTGCAAGGACAAGGCCCCGAAGAAAACTTGTAACATTCGGGACCATCTGAGCGGTCAAGTATCGTCACTGCCTTAGCGTCGTGAAAAGTTCACAGAGGATCCACCTCTTGGTGTGACTTGTGAGTTTGACCTTTGAATCTTGACTTAGTGGTGAAGCGGAGGAAGTGAGTAGTGCGTGTGAGATTAGCCCTATCTTTGAAAGGTGAGCATGAGATGTGAACTCTGTAGTAATCGTCACATCGCGCTTCGTCACACCAGCAATCCATCTCCGAATGTTCATGTTGGAGCTGGGGCTGGAGAAACTGGGCTGACGGTCTGGCCTATTTGACGCGGGCAGCTGCGTAGGCAGCGATGTCGTGCAGCTGTCGCATCTTCGTTCACGGATGCTTGACTTGCCCCTTCTCTGCCCTGCTTGTCATCTTCACCGGGCATCTTTGGTTTAGCATTGGTTTATTTTCCGAGGCAGGATGAGCACAGCATGCGGCAGCGTAGCCTATGAACTTCTACGAGAAGAGAATGATACGAGGCGGGATTGACGGGCGGCACAACACAAGAGCGAGCTCAACCGCGTGTGTGTGAGAGTGTGTATGTGTGTCTGCGTAGGTGCACAGCGGATGTGTGGGAAGTGGAGGGCGTGTTGAAGGAAGCATGCGATACAACACACCCCTGGACTGGAGCGTCGGCTGATTTCAGATTCACCTTACACAACGGTCGATCCGTGCAGGATACGGAACATGAGGTACTGTAGTGCCGCTGCGCTGTGCTTCCCTTCGTCCTCATCCTCCAGCTACATGTACATAGAAGATGGGGTTTGCGTGGCGTATTCTGCATTTATACACTCACGTCGTGTATCTGAGACCTAAATTTGTTTCTACGGCGGAGAAGGAATGTTGGCTTGGCCGAGAGTGAACGAGGGGATTAGAGAATCGGCCCATAGCTGACGGGCAGGTAAGTACGAGCAAGGCGTGAGAGTTGGGAGATGCAGAGGGGCATGCGAGTGTATCTGCAGGATGGGCGATGGCTCGTCGATGGCGTCGATGGGAGGCGAGTGAGTAGTGACATGGGGATTGGAGGACACAACGACAATGCAACGTCGACGGGCTCAAAAAAAACTCAGAAAATAAGGGCGCTCGAGGAAACGGGGGTTGATGAGTGGCTCAGCCTGCCGTTTCCTTCAAAGTCCTCCTAGTCCTGGACCCAGGTTCGTTATCCATTAACGTGGTGCCCCATCATCAAGCAGCCCTGTTTGACTGCATCTGCATCTCCGCTTCTCACGTCCCGGTTCATGCCATGGCATGTTACGGTGCAGCATGGGAAGGACAAGCAGTGACGGTCTCGGATAGGTGAGAGGCGGATGTGCGTGTGGCTGTCCCACTCCCTCGTGTGTCTCTCGAGATACCCTTCACCATGTGGCTGCCCCCCCTGGAACATGACATATCCAGACCAACACTCTGACGACAGTCCAGGAGCAGGGCACCGGCGATTGCGGTGTTGGTGCGGAGTTTCGTATTCAACTCTCATGTCACAATGTCACCCCATTTCTTCGCAACTCGGGAGTCTGATAGTCTCAAAAAGGAACAAGGAAAGAACGAGGAGTCTAGAAGCGTGGTGGTGTAAGAAAATTAAAAAGAAGGTTTGGCGGGCACGTTTTCCATTGCACAGACCGTTTTTTTGTTTCACCCGTCAGCGGTCGTCACCGCTCTCTCTTCCTCTCACTGAGATTCCTAGTCTCACCTCAATCTCGTCTCACTCAATCCATTCCCAATCAATAAAGCTCCCCTACCCCGAGCGGAAGCCCGGAATCGGTGATGGATGACGGAAATTCACTCGGTGGTCAGTGCCTGCGGTTCCTCTTCCGATTCACTCACGACTTTTTGGTGGCGTACACCGAATGGGGGTCGAGCCTCACAACCGAAGCATTGGCTCTCTTACAGTTCTCCCATACAAACCCCAAAGCCCCATGTCATCCCCAGATGAGATCTAGGCCTTTGGGCGATACCTCACATTCTTGACCCTGGCTGGGGGACTGGGTTACACTAGCCTGGGATACCTTACCTTTACTCTGTGACTACCGCCCGAAACTACTATTGGCGCCTTGACTGTCATCCAAAGTCCCTACTGCAACACTAGCCGGCTAGTCGAGTTCGAGAATGGTCGTCGTCGTCGAGGACGCGCCGGTTCCCTCTCTCTCTTTTGGCGAGCAAAGTGTGTAGGCCTGTGTCTGTTTGAAGATGAGTGCCGTTGGGTGCGTGCAGAGAGAGCAAGCTATTGCACCTCCCCCTCCTTTTCCATCGACATCCGCACCCAACCTGGACCTCCTCTCCGGCTCCGGCTCGAGACCCGGCAAGCCCTGACCTCTCTTGATTTTTGGACGAGAAATTGTCTGACCTTTTGCTGTTGCGCGCCATTCATCCATCCTCCCTACGCTACGATTTTCTTTCTTTTTCTGCTTCTTCTGCCATGCAGTAAGTTCAAACGTCAGATGGCTCCTGGGATGGCCCCGGCAAGGCCTTCTTATGCAGTCCGTTCGTTCCCCCTCCATTCACAAACCACTGCTCGGGGTATTCCAGAACGCCGTTCGTCATCCGGGGGACACCTTGCGTGGGGCATCTCGGGTTCTTGCCGGTCAAGAGGGACAACAGGCAGCCCGGCGAACCGTGGTTTAAGATAGGAAACAGTTGATCATGCCATGGTCAAGGCACCCAGAATTCATGGGTTGCGTTGAGCGGACTCACGGACTGGTCATTCAGTGAGCACTGAGCAATGGCCGTTGTCTGTCACGCCCACATCACCCCCTGCGGCGCGCCCTGTGGCGCGCCATATGGCATACATGTCTTCAGCCTGACGATCCCACTCACACGAAGGCGGGTGAAAGTGACTTCAAGTCGGGGGTTACTACTTAATACTTGGATACCAATGGGTGAAAACAGGTATCTTGTGTATCATGTAGCAGGCAATAGGAATGCCTCGTTGGCTGCCTTGCCATGCTCATCATCATCGTTGCATCTGAGGTTCCACCCCTGGTACATGACCCAGTCTGCTGTCTGCCAGTACAAAAAACCGCCCAAAAAATTAAAAGACACAACCCCATCACCATGTTCAAAGGACCCCAACTCCCCATCTAAGTTTACGGCGTATCGTAGCACGGCAAGAGATGCCTACAGCAGCGTGTACATACGCATGCTCAGAGAATGGGGTGACGCGAGGCCAATGCGCCGCTAGATCAGATCGGAAAAGGACGCCGTCTTTTGATTGCACTCTCTGCAGCTCTTGACATTAGGCAGACTCGTTGGGTACTTGGGTGATGATGATGAAGGTCTCTTTCGATTGGGCTGTTTGGGTTCTTTGGGTACCTTTGCGTGTCAGGTCGACTTTGGGCTGCCTCTCACTCATTCCTACCTACAACTCTTCTCGCTCACCCAAGCTTTGGGTGCAAATTGGAACCAACTTGTCAACCGTCACCGGCTGACGATGACGACGGAAACTTGGAGGGGGAGGGGGCAAGGCCACTTACACCGCCGCTCTTGGAACGGATGTAAGATCTGCCCAGGTTGCCCGCTTTCTTGCACTTCCAACGCGCAAGCAAAACAAGACAAGCAAGCAAGTACAACATACTACCTTTCTGGAAGACGGTTATTATCTCAAAAAACGCAATTTCGTTTCTCGAGATCACATGCGATGCGCCTCGAGAGGAGGCTCCGCCCTTGCGCATACATACATGCCGTACATGCTGCTCCTGCGTCTGATGGGGACGCTCTTCTCTTGGAGATGCACTCACTCCCCCACCCATAAGGAGAGAGGGAGACAGGTAGAGAAAGAGATCACTGGGGAGAGGGAATCCTCGCATCGGTGATTGAAGTTCGGCGGGGGCGAATTTCCAAACGAGTCGGCGCCGCTTTTCAACATTTTAAGCCGACTGTGGCTCTCTCTCCCCCCCCGTCAAGTTCTCTAGACTCTGCATCTGAGTGCATCTTGGACGAGCCAGGGTCAGAGGGTGGGATTACAGGGGGACCCCGAGGAGCCCTGCCGGAGCCCTGGACGTGTCCAGTTCAGGTAGATTCTGGAAGTCGTCCGTCTTTTGCACCAATCGAAAGTCTAGAAAATATCGATAATTCGAGTCAATCAGAAGGGGGAGAAGTAGACGGTGTGGCAGAGATTGGGAGGGGATACTTAGGAGAGGGAGCGAGAGACTCCAGAGACCCAATGGGGGCAGTGAGAAGTCCTGGCCAATGGTAAAACAGCCAGATTAAAGAGGTAGGATCCAGAAAAGGCAAAAAAGGTACTTACAGGGGAGGAATTAAAAAAAGATAATGACAATTAAATGGAATAAACCAAAAAAATAATAATATCCTGGGCTTCCATCTTGACAACGCATCACCACAAAAAATGCCCGAATCTACTGCACTTCTGCCTGACCTGACGCCAGGGTTAAATCACAGAATACCCTTTACTCCCAGTCAAATCCGCACATTGTCAACGGAAGCAACACCGTTCCAAGAGGCTACCTAGATACATACAGACAAGATGATCAACACGGAGGATGGGGTACTTCTTTATCCCGCATTCCACCCCGTCCCCGGTTCTATCAAGAGATGGTGGCTCCCACAGTCCAACGAGACGACGACACGAGCTGCGTGGGAGTGGACAATCCCACGCTGCTTTTAATCCAAGTCCTCGCGCGCACTCGCTTGGCTTGCATGCTCGGGACATGTATCGCATTGTTCTTGCGTTGTATCGTTGCCGTCGTTCCTGGCCGTGTGTGGTTGAAGACGTCGACATCAAGGCCATATATACCTCGGGGCTTGGGTTGGAAGATACATCGAGCAACGCCAGGTTCGTTCGCAATTGCGAACGAACAGCAAACGGCAGAGGAGAAGTGTCCCCTCCCCCAGCCGGGCTTTGCCCCGTTACATTCATTCCCATTCCATTCTTTTTTTTTACAATCTTTATGGCCTGGTCTTGTCCCGCCCTGCCCTGCCCTATCCAAACCTTTTGCTGTCTATTTCACCTATCCTGTCCCATCCTGTCCCATTCTGCCCTATCCCCTTTCATCCCAACCCATCCCATCCTCGTTAGCCCGGCTCGCTCGTTGGATCAGAGTTTCGATCAACGGCGGGCCCTGTCTCGTTTCCCCATAGCCCCGGCTTTCCCTAATCGTCCTGACGTCTGTCCATCCTCAACCCCGAGTTGCCTCGTCTGTCTCTGGCGTGTACCCATTTTACCGCCCTCCTCCTCCTTCTCGACACCGCATCCGTCACGAATCAGAACCGTACCATAGCCCCTCTCCGGACGGTCGAAAGGCCGGTTCGGCTTGCATCTTACTGGGCCGATATAATACACACGACCCGCATGGCCCTCCGTCATATGCCTTTGACCTCCCATCTACGGCCATGGCGTGTGTCCCCGCCAGAGGGAACGTCGTCGTTGGATCCCGGGGGAGGGGTGTCTGCCCTCGACCAACGTCCCGTTTGCCTTCCGGACTACACCCACACACGCCTCTTACACCCACACCTTCCCACGCCTCGGCCCCTTTGGAGCTAAAGCACCTTCTATCCTTCTTGACACCGCACGGGCGTGGACGGAAAGGAAGGGGAGGGGGACACCCAAGGAACCCTTCACGCCGTGGCCGTGGCCGTCCCTGCCCACAGAGCCCCATGCCCCTGGCTTGCAGGTTGCAGCCATTCCATCCTTGCCTTTAGTCGGTAAAAATGAGTTAGGTAGTGCGGTAATACTTTCAAGGTTGTACCTCCCTTGCCATGGTTCGGCAATGTCTGGAGGTTCGCCGTTTTACACGACATGCGTCGTTTCCTTCGCCTGAACGAACCCACATTCTTCTCAGTGTCCTGTCTTTTTGCCCTCCTGCTCTTCGCCAACCTGCGCCGGCCAAGTCCGTGTCCCTTTTGGTGTACCGGACTGTTCTCTTCTTCCATTTCTCCTGCTCTTGACCCTGGCTAAGTATTTGGCATCTTTTGTCTGGATATTCCAGACAGATCCGTTGCCCCTTGCGGATCACCCACCCCCATCCTCCTCTCATCGTGGACTATCTCCACCAATCCGACCCATGATGGTCGCCTCCCTCGGCATATGCAGACACCTGGCTCCCCTTCTCTCTGTTTCTTTTTGCCTTTGACATCTGCCGTCTTTTTCCATATTTTTTTACTTTCCTCTTGAGAAATAGGAAACGCGGCATGCAGACGTAGCAATCTGCTTCCCTGCTTCTCCTTGGTTGGCCAATGGCTCCGTCCATCACCCTCCCACCACCGTCGGCTGCCACCCCTCCAATGCCCACACCCTCAACATCCAAACGCCTCGTCGTCGTTGGATATCTCTCTTTTTTTGTCTCCTTCTTTCTCCACGGCCCATACATCCACACGGGAAAGTTTCGCGAGTGAAGACAGGGTTTAGTGTATGCCACTTCCCTGTCACTAACGCACAGGCTAGACCAGGCCCAGGCAGGTCGACCGACTGCCGCTCATCATGGTCCATGGTGGTCGTTGTTGTCTGCGACCCTTTTTTGGCCGTTTCTCATCGTCCCATCACATCATGCCCTTGGACCATTCCGTCTGTTCCCCCTTCCGCGGAAGGAGACCCGGTCAATGATGAAGCCACGGCTTGTCATCGGACGAATCGAGGCTTGATGTCTTATCCCCCTCCAAAGAGACGAAGAAATGGAGTCCGAGGAGGGTCTCGGGAAAAGTATAAAAGGGCACAGCTTGAGCGGGTTGATTTTGTTCACTTCTTCTTCCTTTCTCATCATCAGTTCTGGACTATCTTGAAGCTTCCATAGAGCTTCTCCAAGTTTTCTATTTGCCAAACAAGCAACTTCCTTGCACGCCTTGCTCTGTCTCACAGAGTGCCGCCATCCCTAGTCGACACTTGGACTTAGTCATCCCTTGTTTGCTTCAAACAAGTTCCCACATTGCACACAAGTACACGTCACGCCTCCATCGTCGACTACTTGCTCCAGCCTCCACCTCGCCCATCATGTCTTCCCACTACAACTCCCACTACACCCTCCCCGTGCCCGTCCCCTCCCACAAGGGCCAACACTATCCAAGCTACAGCAGCACCTACTCTGTCTCGCCCCCAGAGACTGATGAGTCTGTCAGCTCTGGTACCGGTCCATCATACAGCAACAGCGGCTACTCTGGCGGCTACTCGGTGGCCAACTCCAGCTACGCCGGGAGCAACAGCGGCGACTACGAGAGCACCCAGCACTCGGCCAGCGGCGTCGACTTCAACGACTACATGCAGGACCGCTTCGCCCAAACCTTTGACCCCATCCCCCTTGACCGTAACATTGCAGTCCAGGCGCAAACGTGAGTTGTTTCCTCTAGCACGCTGCGTGGCACACTCCCAAAGCGGCAGCGAAACGGAACAAGAGGCTAACGAGTGGGATGCAAAAAATAGGTCCGGAAAGCTCAACGCAAAGCACCGTGAGCTGTTGGAGCTGCAAAAGAAGGCGCAAGCTCGTCTCGCAAAGACGCGTGAGCGCTTCAATGAGGGCTACCGCGACGCTCAGGACGTGCGCGCGGACCTCGACTGGACACAGAAGAAAGTCTCGTAAGTTGCACCCTTTCTTTATCGCCTCTTCCGGGACTCCGAGAGGAACCGCGCAATCAACTTCTTCTCCGACACAAGGAAAAGAGTAAAAAATGAGAGACCGTACTGCGCTGCCAGGAATTTCCCCGCGAACCAGTGGGGAAATATCTGTACCGAATTCCTGGGCCGATTCGATGGCAGTTGCAATCGGAGGGGAATTGGCTTGCATCGGAGAAAGCAACTCTTCGGGGGGGTCAATCTGCGAGATCTGAGACAACGCGGCTAACACGCGGACCTTTTTTTTGCAGATCGCTCAAGAGCAAGACTTCTCGCAAGCACACCAAGGAATTCAACAAGGCCCGCGCTCGCTATCCGTCGCCCGAGTACTAGAGAATCCTTTGCTCTCTAGTATTACGCTGCGATTTGAGTTGCGAGCGTTTCTCAGCCGCGCGACATCGACGACGTTGAAGCAAGCAGCGAGCATTTCCTTTTTTCAGCCTCGTTTTTTTTTAACGTGCCATTTTCAACTGCGACCAAAGAAAAAAGTTCCAGCGTGCCGTCACCACTACCACCACAACAAAACGCACGACATACATACATCCCTGTCGACGGAACTGCAGAGGGCGAGATACCAGATTCCCGGAGATTTTCTTTGCATTTGAGTTTTGGATGAGCGCACGCCTCCCTCCATCTCCGCTTGTTTACTTACTATTTTTTTTCTTGGGTACATATTGGGCTGGCAAGCAAGGGAGGGGAAGAGGAGACAGGGGCCCACGGCGAACCTGACAGCCGGGATGGCTTGACGCGCAGCGGAACGGCGCGGGGCGAGCATGGGGGGGCCACCTAGCCGCCCATCTCCCGCTGCTTTTGCGACGGGCAGGGCGGCGACCTGCGAGCTGTAGCAGGCAGGGTCCAGCGAGTGGGTTGAATGGGGAAGTATTCCCATGCGCCTGGTAAACTTCCACACCCACGCTCCAAGTCTCCCCCGGATTGGCGATTTGCTTGGCAGACGCAGACCTGTGGGGTTCTGGCCGACCTTCTTTTGACCTTTGCTTGATGATGTTTTTGTTGCACGAGACGATTATGAGATATGATTGGACGAATGGTAACTGATTTGTGGCGGCTATGTTGTTAAAAGCACACCTCACCCCCTCCTTCTGAGGATGCTTGGGGCCAGGATAAGTGCCCGCTGGCTGCAGTAGTCGTTGGAGGGAAGGGTCTCCAGGCCGGTAGAACGGCTCGGCGGAGACGGGAGGGGGAAACTGGGACAAGGAGACCAGGTGAGGAGGTACAAAATTGTGGCATCTGTTGGAGGCGCTTGTCCTTTTCGGGGCGGTGGGATATTGCTCTTTCGGGATGAAAACGACGGGGATGAGATGACGGTCTCCTTGAGATGATTCGGGTCGTTTTCCTCTAAACCCCCTTGGTGGCTCTGTAGTGACGACAGGGTGTTCTCGTCTAGATCCATATTCATATCAGAACCCCTTCTTGTTCGGTCGTGGCGGTCCTTGATCGGGTTGCTGGTCCACGATGTGTCCACCGTAACAGCACCGTCATGACCCCTGAGCCTCCGTTATGCCTCCGTAAGGGTCCCCCAAGGCCTTGGCCAAGCCTGAAGACCCCGTAGTTTCCAGTGACATATCATGTGATGTACAAATCGCGACATCTGGCCTTGGTGTGCTGCGACCCTGGCCAGTGTCATCACGTGACGTAGTAGGTGAGGTTGTTGGTCAGAAAGACGTCGGTATGCCAAGAACGCAGTTCTGAAAGCCATAAGGATGTGAACGAGAAACGTGAGTCGACATACGTTGACCATACGACACTCATATCATGTAGACACCCCATTCATTATCGACAGTCTTACGATATCAGACATCAAGCCGTCTGAGCTTGAGATCCCCTCGATACCCAAGCCCCCCTCGACTGGACACCAGCTTTCTTCTCAAGCCGCTCCCACGGGTTTTCGTTCGATGCCGGGTCATAATACCCCTCCCACCAAGGCTTGCCATCGTTCCTCTGTTGCTGTTGGTACCCCTGATGACCGCGATGCTGCGCCGGGCGTTCCCTCGTCGGCATTGTCGTCGGAGCGGAGCCCACCTCCTTGCCCCACGACGCGTCGGGCCGCTGGGGCAGGGTTGTTGATGAAGTTGGAAAAGAGGAGGTTGTTCCCTGCGCTTGCGGGACTGAGATTCCATCTTCTGTTGCCGTGCCGTCGCGACCGCCGCGGTTGGCCAATTCATCTATCAGACTTTGCGCATGGGCGAGCGCGGGGGCGATGGTCGAGTCCGAGTAAAGATTCGCGCCGCCATTTTCCATGTCCTCGTCTTCTCCGGCGGCGGTGACGTTCTCATCGCCACCGTCTTCGTCATCGTCATCAAGGGCTATCTCGTTGACGTTGGTAGCGGGCGCAACGGCAACAGTCTCGGTCGACGGTGGGGGGGCGCGTGGAGCGCGGGCGGCGAGGGCGGTCTGATTCGCGCCGTTCGCGGCGGGGACGGAGTTACGAGCCGGGTGGGCGCCGGCGGAGGAGACGGCGTCGGTGCGGTGGTTGTATTTGCGCTTCTTGGCGGCGGGCTGGGTTCCGAAGGAGGCGAAGCCCATGAAGGCTGCCATTTCGGGGTCGATTGCCGTGGAGGGATCGTCTTCGTCCATTGACAGGCGGTGAAGAGGGGAAGATGGAGAGAGAGAGGAAAGAGAAAAAGAGATAGGCTGGAGGGGGGAATAGCGACCTGCAAAAGGGTTCGGCGCGAGGATGCGATGACGTTGGAAAAGAGACTGGTGTATTCGTTGGGACAGGTCCGGCAGGGAAGAAACAGCTGCGGATGATGTGGGGAGAGGGGAAAAAGCAGTCAGGCCAAAAAAAGAAACTGAAAGGAGCTTTGGGCGCGGGGGGGACCGGTGTTTTTCCAGAGAAAGAAGAGAAGGAGAAAAAAGGGTCGAATTAAGACCCTTGTACGGCACTGGCCCGCTTAATTAGAGCCTCGTGGAACTGGTGGCAGAGCTAAAGAACTTGGGTGTCCACGGATCCTAGTGTCTCAAATGGGATGTCGTCGATAAAAGAATGACCGGACGAGAAACTCGGGTATCTGCGGCTGTAGGGGTGGACAAATGAGAACAAGATATTTTCATTTGCGAATCAAAACCCCCATGGCGAAAGGGCACACCGAATTGGACTAGGAAGAAGAGAGAAAATGCTCGAGTCTCAGCCATTGGGCCCGCTGACATCATTTGAAACGCGGCACCCCTGGCGCGAATCCCGGAGCTTGGGGCCATGGTTTGCGCTTGTCTTTCAACTTCATTCCAATCTTTCTCGACGACGACTTCTCCTACAAAGACCCCGAGCACATCAATCACCACCTCAAGTCGCAGTCGCATGCAAATCCCCAAGCTTCAAGAACTGTCGTCTGTGCCGAGAACCTCTTCATAGCTATACTACCAACATCGGCCTCCCACAGAGCTTCGCACAAGCTCCAACATACCTCTTTGACCCCCCCCCCCCCCCCCTTTATACATTACCCTCCCCCACGAGATCCACCTCAACACAACCCAGAGCCCATCATGGCATCCCCTCCGACAACCGTAACCCTCCGCTCCCCATCAAAATACATAACCTCCTCTCCAACATCATCAACCTTCAACGCCCCGCCCCTCGAATGGCTCCTTCGCACATGGTGCGTCACCCACTCCACCCTCGCCATGTGGCGCGACGCCCGCAACGTGCGCATATCCTACGCCCCCATGGCCCCGAAACCCGACGGCATCGCCCGCGTAGACGATCTCGTCGAGTACGAATCCAACAAGACGACGCCCTCGACGGCTGTCAAATCTGTCAAAGGCGTCGACACGGCGTGCGCGGCCGGTGATACCTCGGTGTGGGACTGGAGGGGCAAAGGGTGGCTGTTCTTCGTCGGGAGCCATTGGGAGGTGCTCGGATGGGGCGAGAGGCAGACTGAAGGCGGCGAGGTCGAGAGGTGGGCTGTGACGTGGTTTGCGCCGACGGTGTTTACCAAGGAAGGTGTTGATATCTACTGCGACCGCAAGGAGGGGCTGAGTGAGGCGGGGTATGAGGAGGTGATGAGTGCTTTGAAGGGGCTGCAGGCCAAGGATGTGGTTCAGATGGTGGAGAAGGACATGTTGCCCGTTGAGATTTCGCTGCCCTGGAAGGAGGCGTAAGTGAGTATATTTGGATACGATACTGCCAGTTTAGCCATGTCTTTGGGGTCTGATTTTTATAGTACTGATGTGATACCTAGGCTAAGTATCTGTCGATTGACACTAATGCAATGGTAGAGAGACATTTCCATAACCTCAATGCTCTCTAGGATGTCTGTATGTGTCACATGTCGCACATCTCACGACTACCCTTGGGAGCACATCGCAACGAGTGCGCAGGTGTTTATACAGGTGGTCTCGACACCTGGGTCCAAGACTGCCTGAGCATTCACCAAGCTCTTTCTTTGCGCAAGAATCTGGTCGTGAGGTTGTGGGGTTCTTTTTCGACAACAGCGAGCATCTTTATACCTAGAGGATACCCCTTTTATCCTGGCCCCCTCTATGGCAGGCGGCTGTAGATTCGGCAGAGCGGATCAGCTGACTTCGCCTTGCCCGCCCTCCTCAGCCATCGCCGTCCCTCGACGTCCCTCGCTGTCTTTCACCCCCCTTTACCTATGAATACCTAACTTCACTCTATTTTCACGCCAGACGTTCCTGCCATCCCCTAGCCCTCCTTCAATCTAGTCTAATCCCCTTTCCTTCACAACCAAAATGGCCGAACGGCTTGAGATTCGAGGTCCAATTCCTTTCGTCCCAAGTCCCAAAGGCTCCGAGTTCAACTCCAACCCGATGATGAAAAAACGATTGACCATTCTGGACGGGTCAGGTATCGTCCCCCCAACCGATCCTGACTTGATCCTTGATGGTTATATCCCCTCAGATCGAAAACCACACATTCGTGCTGAGGCTGAGGGGTGGTGAATTTGGACTACTTTTTTTCTTCATAGGATAGATGTAGACAGACGCTTAAATTGGGTGATGCTGACTGACCAAAAGGTACATCGCCGGGTCATATGTGTAGGCGACCTAGTCTTTTCGTTTTCTACTACGGACTTCTAAGGACTGCCGCGATTGACAGCCTGCGAGCCTGAAGCTACGAGCGTGGGACAAGGCAAACGCTCATTGCGACCACGCTCGCACAGATCTAGGATGGCGGTGATGATTTGTTGATGTAGGATGTCCACGAGTAAGCAGACACGCGGAAGAGGCAAGTAGATGGAGGAGCAAGTTTTAATTCAAATTCATCATTTACCATTCTTATTACGTCCTTCCAGTGAAATTCAAGCGATTGAAATGGGTATACCGCATAGCCCGCCCAACTTGATCATGTCGATCTGAGATATCATCTCCCGAGCAGGCCTCTGTCCATCCTCAATCCATGTCTCTCTTCCTTGTGAGACAGATATATGTTTTTCTGCTTTTAATGTTTGGTTGTATGAGTAGTCGCAAAGGGGTATTTAAGAATCAATCGTGTCGAAGCATCGCGAAGTGCAAGGGGGTATTACGTCGCAGCAAAAGAATCAACGCGTGGTGGTGACAGCCGCAAAAGGGTCGGCTTTAGTGTGACCAAGCTATTTCCCCACGAGACCTCAAGTCAGCACTTGGTGCGACCTCAAATGTTTTCGATGACACGAGAATTAATGGCTTGCTGGAAGCCGGAATCCTGACCTCCAAAGTCGTTGAAGTCGCCAGTGCCATGGTTGGCACCGCTCGACTCGCCCGTCTGGTTGTTGCCGCTGAGCGACTGTTGGATGTTGGGCATGGTCTGACCAGGGCCAGGCAGGAAGATGACCTTGCTGTTGGAGGACTTGGCCATCGCCTGCATGGCTTCTAGGTAGCGGATCTGCATGGCAGGGGCAGACGACAGAATGTCGGCAGCCTGGCGCATGAGCTTGGCGGATTCGACCTAGGTTGTGTTAGTGGGAAAAATCAATTATATAGCATGTCGGATACGCACCTCTGCCTTGGCGGCAATGATCTTGCTCTCACCAATGCGCTTGCTCTGGGCAGCCATGGACAGCGACTCCTGCAACTCTTGGCTGAAAATGATGTCCTTGATGAGCATGCTCTCAACTTGGACACCCCATCCGGCAGCGACATCCTCGATGATCTCGCCAATGGACTGGGCAATCTCCTCCCTGCGCTCAATGACATCCTGGAGAATGCGGGCGCCGACGACATGGCGAAGGGTGGTCTGAGTTCGCTCCATGAGGGCCTGGCGCACGTTGGAGATGCCGAAGGCGGCTCTGTGGGGTGCGACAATGTGGTAGTAAATAACAGAGGTGAGATGGAGAGTAACGTTGTCCTTGGTCATGCAAGTCTGCTGGGGAACCTCTGCCATTTGAATCTTGACGTCGACCTGTATGAGCTTCTCGCTGAGAGGGTTGACCTTGACAAGACCAGGGTCGACGGCCTTGTAGAATTTGCCAAACTTGGTGACAAGACCGACATTTCCCTGGTTCACGTTCTTGTAAGGGTTCGGGCAAACGATGCAGCAGGGGATGGCACCCAGAGTACCAATGCAGGCACCAAAGGTGTTGACTGGTGATGCCGTGTTAGTATATTGTGATAGCTCCGAGGTAGAAATAGTGGTAGGACATACTCATGGTTCCGTACCAGCCCTTGGGGTTGGCATCTTCGGCGACAACTCTGGCGTAGCTGCGCTGGAGATCCTCCTTGGTGGGAGGCTGAACAGTCATCTCGTTGTGAGGCTTGAAACCGCCCTGGCCAAGACTAAGACCACCTCCGTTGGCCGTGGTCTCGCTGCGCTCCTCGTAGTCGGGAGCACGGGCCTTGCCCGTGGAGGTACTCTCGTGTTGCGGGGCGCTCATCGTGAGCGAGTGCGATCTGGAAGAATTGGTTTGGAGTAGGTGTCGTGCAGAGGTGTTGGAAGAAGAATCTTGCCGATTGCGGGTATCTAAATGGTCAGAAACTTCGTGGGTGGCTTCTGAGTGATTAACCATGTGTACTGGCTGGACTCCGTGATGGACGGGGGGACGAGGTTCTTAAGTAGACGATATCTGTGGTGCGGGATGGAGATGTGTCGAGAGGAGAATGAAGACTACCTTACACTAAGAGGGATCATAGACACGGGTCTTAGAACAAGCGTCGAATCGCCCGTGGACAGGGTGGGCTGTGTTTTTGCCCAGGAGCTTTGTTTCTGGGGGGCATCTTCTTGGGCACTGAGCTATCGGCAGGCACGATGATAGGCCGGAGAGGTAGGTAGTCGCAAACCGCGAAAAGGGAGCTACAGGAGCCGAAGGGTGGAGCAGGGGTCTCGTGCAGCAACGCACCTCCTTCGACGATAGGTAGTCACTCATAGACTGAGAGTCGACCTCAAAGTGCAGGAGCGACCTTGGTGGCACGGGTGGACAGCTACCTAACTACCTTAGGTTGCCCCCCCCCATGCTGCCCCATGTTCCAGTTGATTGCCCCGTCTGCGTCCGTGGGCTGTTGGACAGGGGGGTATGGGCACCAGAGGGGGAACGCTGGAGCCATGCGGGGCAGAATTGAAGTGCCCGACGGTGGAGACTGGAGAGAGCACTGCCCGCGAAACTCCAACATGATGTGGCCCATGCGTATTTTGAGCTTCCTTCCGTCCACGCACCCCACGGTGACACATTCCACCGGTCACCAAACCCGATGAAAAGTTTCCTCAATTCTTTCTGCGGCCTGCGTGCCTGCCTAGACACATCGCTGATTGTCCTGCTCGGCACACATTCCGCATCCTCAATTGCCTAGGTAAGGTACGCCAGCCAACATGTCGAAAACGATGATCTCGTGGTCATGGCCGGCCTCAAAAAAGGCGCACTGCTAGCAGAATCGGCACCGATGCGGCGGCTTGACTTTCCATATCGCACCCAATCGCGAAGCTGCCGTTCTGCCGTCTTACCTTCAATCTCCTCCACCCCAACTAGGTAGGACATTTCTTCTCTTGTGCCCGGATAGCCAGCGCGACTTGCAACCTCGACTTCGCGCGTCAATCAAGCGTCGTCGCCCGACTGCTTCTCAACTTTCCCACGAGGGCAATGTCGCTGCTCCGCCGCTCCGCTCCCTTCATTCTTCGCTGCCTAGACAACCATAACTCCACGATCCGATTTCAACAGTCTGTCCTTGGTGGCAGGCAGAGCGGTGGCGGCCCCATTCCATCCAATCCGTCTTTCAATCAGCCTTGGCTGTACCAAAGCCAAGCCGCGCAAGGCCATGACTGCTAACTGCTCAGGGATGGATCAGGACGGGAGTGGCACCTTTGCTCTTCTGCAACCTCTCAGGACACTTCACACCATCCCATCCAAACGCGCCGTCTGATCTCGACAAGTTCCGGCTGTCTGTCTGCTAGGGCCCAGGGGCAATTGAAGTACTGCAACTGTCGACCAAAAGTCACACGCGAACAGAGAACGTTTCACACACCATTCATCTCTGTGTCATGATATTCGGCCCTGTCACCCCAACATACTCATTGACCAATCAACGCCGTCGCGCGTGCCGACTTCCGTCAAGGGAGGGCATGGCAGAGTGGCATGATATCATGGATCCCCAGCGCCGAGATTTTGGAGAATCCTACGCTGCCCTCAAGTCGAGCACCGCGATTATTCACCGGCTGCTTTCAATTAACAAGTGCCTGGCGCAGCAAATGGCTTCTTGTGTCCGATACCTAACAGCTCCTGCGGCCGGTAATTAACTACAAACGGATCCTTCATCGCAGAGCCTCTCAAAGTCAGAGGAATTTGGAGAGTAAGGAATGACTTCATTGACTCCGCTCTTGTGAATGCGCCTCCGACCGCTCCTGCATGGTGTCTTCTCCACTCAATCTACCGCTGCCGCCCAGCTCATGAGCAGAACGCCATTTCAACCATCAGCCTCCGGATCGGCCAATCCACGCCGACCTCACGTCTCTGCCTTCCCGTAAGTGGCCCTAGCGTCTCACCGGCACGCGTGACCCGACACTGCCCCGCCAACATTTGTCGCCCGGCGAACTCGAGCGATGGTTCAATCCCAGCAGCGTGTTCGCCCATCAATCATCAATATCTCTGTGTAACTTGACATCATATTCCGGATCAGCCAGAAACCGGCCGATCCTCTCCACTCAACCCGACAAACCAACAAGAATTTCCGGTAGCGAATCGCGGGCGGTTACAATCTTTGCCCGACTCTCGAATCTTACGCGTGTTGCGGTATCCAGCACCCGGAGAGACCGTCTCCATATTGAACCCATAACCTTCGTCATATGTTTCCGCAGCAAATCCGCAGACTCCACAAGGCTTAAGTGGTTGACTGAATCCATTCTTTGTCATCCCTGTCGTCTTACTGTGCACCTGTGTCGTCTCGTTTGCTGTGCAAATGTAGGAGTAGCTGATCTGTTCTTGCATACAATTGCAGATCTTATCCTGAATATTCCCTACGAGCTAAGCCACCAGCGAGTGCCCCGCCATTGAATCCTTCCAGAAGCCTTCCTATTTCGCCACTCCTGTGCCGCGCTGCATCCTATGACCACAATCTTACAGTCCCATCGTCATTTCGATTTTGTACGAGGCTGACTAGTGAGTGTAATCTTTCATGCCTTATTCCAATCTTTTTGTCGATCACTGATACAATGCTGCATAAACCATTGTAGTAATGGCTGTGTTGGGATCACGATACCGGGCGAACTGTGTGAGCCACGACAAAATCTCACAAGACGCAAGCTAATCATCGAATGCTTCTAGAATAATAATCTAATGGAGACCAACTCTAGAGTGATAGTGGCCAAGATCAGGGTCTGGTTCCTGGTCCGATCTTGAGCCATACTGGCGGGCCCATGTCTAAGAAGCCTACCACAACGCGACCAACATTTCCGGAGATAAACCTAGCCACCACTGGCCTCTCGTCCCCCGCATAATCTCAAAGTCCTCATCAATAGCCGCGTGATCCATCTTCCAGCTCGGGCTCATGGAGACCATGCTTCTGATCCTCAATGCTACTTCTCGTATCCGCATAGGACGCAGTCCAGATGCTCCGGTAGATGCCCTGCGCCGGATAACTCACGAGACCAAACGTCGACGCCGTGCTTTTGGTCACCAGGCTAACCACGTCCATACCGAACCCCTTGGCGGCGCCCGGGGCACCCTGTTCCTTCTTGCCAGTATATGTGTGGATGAAAATCTCCGTCAGGCCGCCCTTCATGTCCTGGCAAAACGTCTTGCCCGCCACGGAGACGCCGCTGCGGAACCTCTTGACGGCGTCATGCTTGCGCACCGGCTCACCGTGCAGGTTCAGTACCGCCCGCAGACCCTCACTCACCGCGAGGGGAATGTCCACCAGCAGGCCATCGGTAGCATTCCTCATGAGGTTCTCGGCAGAGTCGCTGGTGCGTCTGTAGTAAATGACAACGGACCTTTCACCGTGACTTTGCATCCGGTACGCAACTTACCATTCTTTGGCAAGATGGACGTGGCTGGTCGGCACACGTGACGGGGAAGGAGAGCCGAATAAAGCTGACTGGTTCTTCCTTTTCTCTCCAAAGGCAAGAACGGTCGTCGTAGGCTTGCCGTATCTCACTCCGTATGCCGTAGTGCCGGCGCCGCCGGGTGGATAACGGTCCTTCGAGAGGATGCCTCTCTATTTGCGGACCCCAGTCGTTGAATTCAAGCAGACAAGACGGCGAGCAACAGTATGTGAATAAGACTTGCAAGCTTCGCAGTATACGATGTCCTTCTGTGGATGGGACTGGTTCCAAGCCCAGTGACCGGACTCTCCATGCGTTGCCAAGATCACCCGAGCTATGTTCCCATCTGTATCAAAGCATTCGCATTTGAAGAAAATTGGTCTCACCCTTGCTATGTCAAGAACTCAAAAGCAGCATCCGAAGCATGATCCATGCTCTTCTAATCCGCCTATGAAAACCCGGTATTCGCTAGGTGGTGTGGGAACGCCTTGGTGCTGCCCCACGGCATGGTGAACATGAAATGCACCGGGATAACCAGAGCCTGGGCGCAGTGCACGTGAGCGAAGCTCGGCGGATTCACGATGATGGCGTCCGCCACGGAGGGCATATTGGACAGCGGTTCCGGGTGGATGCAGAACTGCCAGAAGCCGTCGAGCATCTCGACGTACATGTCTCGCTTCCGCTGGTTGATGCCGGCGCGGATCTGGGAGATGGACTCGACCATGTAGGCCATGAGGTCGGCCGTGTCGCCGCTGACGGGGAAGAATTCGAACTTATTTGAGGAGGCATTGTTATATTGTGTTAGATTCGAGGACGAAAGACGAGAACTGCGAGTGTGTCGCGATGCGGACGCGGTGGCCTGCCTTTTGGAGGGAGGAGGCGAGGGCGAGGAAGGGTAGAACGTCGCCTCGGGGGTCGACGACCAGGACGATGATGTTGAGAGGCATTGGCCATTGCTGTTGAGGCGTGTACTGGGGGCCGTACTCGGGTGATATGCGGTCTTAGGGATGCGCCGAGCTGGATGGTTCATCATCTGCTGTTGACCGCGTGAGCTTGTTCGGAATGCCAGACAGGCTTTTAGAGCGCTTACTTTCGAGGTAGAGGTCCTCAAGCCCAGAGTTCGAAGCCTTTGATTCCCTAGGGGAACTCCGCGTTTCTCTCTTTTCGCCTTCCAAGTTTCATTTCACGTGCTGAAAGCTGTGTATGTTGGGAGTCGGTAGAGAAGAGGACAGGGACCGGAGACGAGGGTAAGGGTCAGGGATATGTAGGAGACTTAATTATACCTTACCTTGCCGCGTAGCCTACTGGGCTGGCCGCGTCAGAAGGTGGTTGGCCAGCAGATCTTTTCTTTGCTATTTCTGGCTAAACATGTCACTGATCCCAAATATTTGACGCGAAACCTACTCAGTCTCGCTGGCGCGGGGTGACCTTGTGGTGAAGGGGAGGTTCCCTGTCTTGTGACGAAATCTCCATTGAGAGTCTGTGATACGTTAATGGTGGAGAGTCGTTCAACGATACGAAAAAGAGGAGATAGCCGAGTGTTCCATTCTGATATAAAGGGGGTTATGGAGACAGTATCATGGCTTTAACAGGTACCAATCGAGCTCTGTATCTTCAATCGTTACAGAAAAGGCAGCCAAAGTCACCGTTTCGTTTCTTGCCGTCGTTAAAACCATAGGCGCTTCTGCGCAACAATTGGTAGAATCACTCCCGAAAACGCCGCGTGGCCATCCTAAGAGGACTAGTCGGTGTTGAACACAACGATCGACGAAGTTGTCATCAAGACTCGACCCGGCGCATCGTCCTGCTACGCTATAAATCCTTTTAGCTCCTCGCGGGCGTGCGAAGATATCAAATAACGATGGGGCTGCTCCTACTACCACGTCTCGCTCCTCGTATCCATCGCCTCCTCTACATATGCCAACAACTCATGGCTCCCACCAAGCATTTAGCAATCGAAGGGCTGCGAGATTGACGGTGCGCCGCAATATGTTGTGAACGCCACGACGGAATAGCAGATTGCCACTGCTATAGATTGGGCCAGCGAGCAGAACGTTCGCATCGTAGTCAAGGGAATTGGGCATGACCTTAACTGCCGAGCATAATCGAGCGACTTGGTGATGGCGAAGAGATTATCACCGCCGCCGTCATGGACTAGTCGGATCCGACCTGCCCTTTCTGACGTGCCTCATGCGTAAGACAGGGATGTGTAGGGGTCGATCAGGTTGTAGGCGCACTCGGCGAGATGCGCATCGTGACGACCCAGGGCCATCCTCGTCGCCGACGAGGCGCAGAATCCGGAATTTCTCTGGGCTGCCCGGGGCGGAGGTACCGGCCAGTACGGCGTCGTGTCCAAGTATATCATCAAGGCGAACCCCCAACCCGGCAACGTTAGTCACTGGGGGCATTGAAGTGTCCGCCGTCGGCAATGGCACTGCCTCTAGGGTCGGCCCAGAGAGATGCTGCGGCTCTGCTTGCCAGTGTTCCTGACCTGATGGACGGGGCCCTCACAGGAACTGGCATGATCAGCGCCGGAGCTCTGCCGGTCAACTCTTCTCAGACTGTCCGCAAGGTTACTGCTTCCATCGGCTTCGTCGCCTACAACACAACGGATGAGGAAATGACCTCGCTCCTCGAACCTGTCAGAGCCCGCGTCCTTGCCGAGGTGGGCGACCATTCCGTCACCGTCACCCTTAGCAAACCAGCTTCGCAGCCTGGTTGCATGACTTTCTTTGAAAGCTTGAACCAGTCGCCGGGTACATTCGGAGCTGGCATGATGAGGAATCGCTTCCTTGGGCGCAAGGAACTCGCCGACATCCCGGTATCAGCCGTGGCTTCGTATCTTCAGCATCTGAACGTTCCGCGAAATCCCACGGGCAGCCCCCTCATGGTCATTGATCTTCAGGGCGGACTGGGACCTCGCAATGTCTCCAACGTACTCCGTAATGCGCTGTGCCTTCAGCACCTATATCCACCTGATGAGCTACGGCGCATCAGCAGATCTCAATGTTTGACCCCAAGAGGCTCTTGATGGTATTGCGCAGTGGTTGGAAGAGATCAAGGAGCCTGTCTGGCGCGAATGAGCGCCGTGCTCTGGCTCACACATGAACGAGGGCAACGCTTTTGGCGCCATGTTCAAGGAGGACTTCTACGGCACTTCGTACGACCGTTTGGTTGATATCAAGAGGAAGTATGACCCCACGGAGAGTCTGTTCATCTTGTGGGGCGTCGGAAGCGATGCTTGGGAGTCCAACCTCAGCAGTGGCAAATTTTGCAAGACGGTCTGATTTGCCCGGAACAAAGGTGGGATTTCGATCACTGCCCGTGGTCATCGTGACTTCGGTATCGTGGCTATTTTCCGCCCTTCTATGGTAGATAGATTTGTCATTCGTATTGCTCTAATTAATACTTGGTTGTTTCGTAGCGTTCTGCTGACCGCCGATGGTCATTTCGTTGTCGTGAATCAGAGTCTCGTTTGCTTCGTTCGTTGCTCGCGTCACGTCTTCCTTCATCGCGACTCCTTTCATCTGTTCTCGGCCTCTTGTCCTTCTCGTCCCTCTGTTCTCGTCGACGGCTCCTCTCTTCATGACGAGGGTCTCTACTGCGGGGTCGCTCTTCATCTCGACGGGGCCTGCGGTCGCTGTCTCTCCCTGGGCGAGATCTGGCTTTATCACCGTCCTTCCCACGAGATTCATGTCGAGGTTGACGTTCTTCACCCCTCCGATGCTCTTGTTTTCGCCGCTCATGTCTCTCTTTTCGCCCCTCTTCCTTACGCAGTTGCTCAAGCTCCTTCTGCCGCTCAGCTTCAAACTTTTGACGCTCTTTTTTGACCTCTCTCACTCTCGATGCCCCCATCTTCATCATCGCGAGAGGATCACTCGCTACTATCCTTTGAGCATCTCTCTTCTTCCTTCCGGGATCATCGTTGCCGAATGCGTCCTTGCCCGCGGGCTCAAGCTCTGCGAGTTCAGCTTTCGATCCAGATGCTGCGTACCAAGGGCCAACCAGGCCGTCCCTGCCGGCGGCATTTGATAAGCGCATTGTGTACTGGTCCTCGAGTTCTTTCTTCTTCTTTGCGGCCTCCTTCTCCGCCTCTTCATTTTTCAGGTGGCGGCCCTGCTTTCGTTCTTCGCCAAAGAGGTCAATGTGCCCAGTCGCGTCGACAATCGGCGCAGAACTCGTTGACTTGCGCAAATTACCGTTGGCAGTCTGCACGACGTCTGCACGTTCTCTCGCAATGCGTAACTCGAAGTCGGTGTCATCTTCGCCAGCGCGCTTGCGCTTCGTCCTTTGCCTGGCGTGAGGACCAGCGGACCGGTCCCGAGATATTGGCTCATCTTCAGGTGCCTCCTCTGTTGGTGACAGTGGTGGCGGGTCCTCACCCCGTAGAATCGCTAGCCGACGCTCGGCGTCGACCTCTTGCATGCGCTGCTCCTCGGCCTCCTCTTTCGCCTTGGCTGCGGCCTCATCGCGGCGGACGCGGGCGATGTTGTCCGCATTGTAGACGTTCCAAGACTTTTTGCCCAGCAGGTGTCTGTTGACATGTTAATCTCTGTAATATCATTTTAACAAGAATGCAGACTTACAACGGCATATTGGGTGATTTGGGGCTTTAAAAAAAGCTGTTCATGAGAAATGTGAAGGAGAATGTAACTTTGAGGCCGTCCCGAGATGTGAATAGCTCCAGTGAAGACGTCCCCAAAAGGATTAGACTGGGTGATTTGCGAACCAATCGACGTCATTAGTCAGGCGGCAACTGGACCTGGAGTGGGACCGGTGTAGTGAGTACATAGGTACCTAAGGTAGGCAGTACCTTAGCGGCAGCAGCTGCCCGCCCCACATCCACATCACTTTCTACATGACTTCCACGTTCCCGTCAACTGGAGCTCACTGAGTAAAATGCCACAGCTGAACAACTCCACAGGCCATGCTACAAAGTCTAAAGTTGAAAATAAGTAAAACATAACGCTTGTGTTGCCACAGGCAGCATCATCCGTACAGTTCTGCAAATGAATGTACGTAGTAAAATAGGCATCCCCCAGTATACTCAAACTGGCCAAAGTTGAAACAGATTGAACACGGTTACAAACCACTCGCCGGATCCACATGAGCATCAGCGCATCTTCTACGGATATGCCATTCGCTGCAGCAAGGGTAAGGTAAGGGTCCCCTCTATACGTACCCGCTTCGCCTTGTGTCTGTTTAACCCAAACAAGGTTTAGCGCCCCCTCCGGGCCCAGGGGACTGAAGCGAAGACGAAGCCGCGCAGCCCCTCCAACACCCATCTACATAACCTCCCCTCGTCATCCTCCCCGTCTTCCTCAACACCTTTCTAGAGATCCAGGAACCCCAGCCGTACGAACTCACGACCAACGTTGTTCGAACTCACAACTAAAAGACCCTCCCATTCTTTCCATACCGACCGAGCGCCTTAGATATGAGCTACCCCGAGAAGCCGCTCCCCCGGGGCCAGCCGCAGTCACCGAGACAGCCCGGTGTGCGGCTGAGGATCGAAAAGGTCAGGGACAAAGCCTTGCAGACCCAGCTCATTTATGCCAATGTGTAAGCATCTCGTACATTCGGTTCCTCCTCCACTGCTAACTCTTTCCCAGCGCTGGTGTCAGCTACCGAGACTTCGCGCCGAGCCGCGACGGCCAGGACATTAACATCCTGATTCGAGCCAGAGACCCGGTGCGAGGAACAGTACGAGAGAACGTTGTCAGGGCGCGACCAACACCCGAACTCCCCGAGGGTACCATCAGTCTGTCCGACCCGCAACGATCATGGCTGAAGATCGGAATGACGGACACCTTCGAGGGTGAGGTATACGATGCGAATAGACAAGGGGCCACCCACCTCGAGGCGATGGACCTGGAGCTGTCTTGGGCCTCGATGAAGAGGGACCCCAACTACGAGTTCAAGCACGAATATTTGGCCAAGGTCTTTGAGCGTTTCTTCCAAAAGCACTTCTTCGCCCCCGGTCAGCGCACCCTGCTAGACATAGAAGGCCTGAAGATCTTCGCTACCGTTAAGACCATAACTTTCGCCGGTGGCCGCGGCCCTGAAGCCGTTGTCACATCCTCGGATCCCTCTGCCCGAGGATTCTTCAGCACTAATACGCTGCTGTCCTTCTTCAAGGGTGCCGATTCGGATATGAAGCTTCAAGTCGGTGAGCACCAGGGCAACGCCAACCCCATCATCTCGCCGGATTTCAAGTTTGAGGATATGGGTATTGGTGGTCTCCAGGACGAATTCGCCACCATTTTCCGCAGAGCGTTCGCTTCACGCGTCTTCCCTCCGCAGTTGGTGGCGAAGTTGGGCATTCAGCACGTCAAGGGCATCCTGCTCTTCGGCCCTCCCGGAACGGGAAAGACGCTTATTGCTAGGCAAATCGGAAAGATGCTCAACGCCCGTGAGCCCAAGATTATCAACGGTCCTGAGGTTCTCAATAAGTTCGTCGGTCAATCCGAAGAGAACATCCGAAAGATGTTCGCCGATGCTGAAAAGGAGTACAAGGAGAAGGGTGACCAGAGTGGTCTTCATATTATCATTTTCGATGAGCTGGATGCCGTCTGCAAGCAAAGAGGCTCTGGTGCTGGAGGCGGCACTGGTGTTGGTGACAGTGTTGTCAACCAGCTTCTCACCAAGCTCGACGGTGTTGACCAGCTCAACAACATCCTGCTCATCGGTATGACCAATCGTAAAGACATGATCGATGAGGCGCTTTTGCGTCCCGGTCGTTTGGAAGTTCAATTGGAGATCAGCTTGCCCAACGAAGAGGGACGCAAGGAAATCTTCATGATTCACACTGCCAAGATGCGGGACAATAACATTATGGATTCCAAGGTTGACCTCGCTTCACTAGCGGCTCGCACCAAGAACTACTCTGGTGCCGAGATTTCTGGTGTCGTCAAGGCAGCAACTTCGTTCGCCTTCAACCGCCACACTGAGGTGGGCAACAGCGCCAAGATGAAGAATGATGTGTCTGCGATGAAGATCACTATGGATGATTTCGACAACGCACTGACTGAAGTCAAGCCCGCATATGGTGTTTCTGAGGACGAGCTAGCATTTGCTCTTGGCATGGGAATCCTCCAGTTCAACAACAACATCCCCGCCATTATCCGCACAATGCAGGGCTACATCGACACAGTCAAGGAGTCAGATGTTCTCAACAGGATACCAGTTCTTTTACACGGCCCCCCCGAGTCAGGCAAGACTGCTCTGGCCGCCCACACCGCGTCACTTTCAGACTTCCCCTTTGTCAAGCTTATTTCGCCTCAGCACTTGACTGCTTTCCGAGATGAGTTTGGAAAGAAGGATTACCTCACCAAGGTCTTCACCGACGCTTACAAATCGGAGCGTAGCATCGTGATTTTGGATAACTTTGAGCAACTGATTGAATGGAACCCCATCGGGCCACGCTTTTCCAACACGGTGCTCGATAGACTTATTTCCCTCATCCAGACCCAACCACCCAAGGTCAGTTTTCGTTTCTTGCTATGATGGATCACTTCTGACTTATTATCTCAGGGCCGTCGTATTCTCATCATGGTCACCACCTCAGAACGCTTTGTCCTCAGCAACCTGGGTGTTCTCAAGCACTTCCGCAGACAGATACCGGTACCCGCCATCTCTGATGTACGTGAGCTCGCCCAAGTCCTGGACCAGTCAGGAATGTTCGGCGGCAACGACATCCAGACTGTTATCCAGTCCGTGCGTAATGACACTCGGTCGGATAAGATCGGTCTTGGCATCAAGACAATTCTTGAGTCAATCGAAGAATCAAAGATTGAGGCGTCTTCACAAGGCACCGACATGTTGGAGAGTTTGGCAAATAGGATTGTGACGGCTATATCATCCAACGCCCTGGAGGAGTAAAGAAGGGGTTATGAGGCAGCTTTGCAGGTTACAAAATAGATGACACTGAATAATAAATGTCGAGGTTCTACAAGCCACTCTTACATCCCTGTGATGCTGGGATTGAAGCATGAATCGCTGGTATGTAGGCGAGCGTTTGGTGCTAATGCCACTCGAAGTATCCTCAACGTCTTTCATATGTTCCAGAGACATAAGCCTGGAAGTTACCGATTACGAAAGCTACGAAGGCAATTACGTGGATAGCAAAGATACAAACTGCTGTTCTACCTGTAAACGACATAAAAAGATTGTTTACAGCGACCCAACCAGGATACCTCTGTAATCTTTGACGAAATCGATCTCAGAGATGGCAATGAAGGTTGCGGACGTTCTCTAGGGGGAGGTTCGAAAGTATACGGCTGAGGGGACATCCGAATATTACTCTATATTCTCCAGAAAACTGCAAAAAGCCAAACACTTCCTGCTGCCAATCGCTTGAATACGGGAGATATGTCATGGGGTCACTTGTAACATGGGTTCATTAGTCATCTATTGATGCTCCTTTCGACTGGGTCTTTGGGTGGACGCAACAGCCAGAGGCAAGTCATATCAATATTGTGGGAGACGTTGGCCACTGCACATGAAACAATATGATGGCGCATAGAAGCCGCCAATATCTAGTCTCTCTAGGAAAGGGCGCATTAGCATCCTTCGCAGTTTGGTAGATGATATCTTTTCTCAAACGATGTGTTGAAGAGACAACCATGGAGCCTGGGACCATTAGATGGCTTCCTTTAGCTTATGTAATCCTGCTGTACGTTAATTAGGTAGGTCGAGGCCACGCATGGTGGGGCAGTGAGGTCACAACCTGATGCACTGTAACAAGCTAAGGTAAGCTCCAAATCATAGCAGCCTCAGTCCCGCTTTCCATCTCCTGACATCAACCATCCACCAACCCACCCCGAGATGGCCGACAGAGCACGATCAAGATCGCGCTCGCCCCGGCGCGATCGAGATAGAGACAGAGACAGACCTCGGAAGCAAGGAGGCTTCAGATGGAAAGACAAGAGCCGCAGAGACGACCGCGATGACCGGGACGACCGAAGAGGTCTTGAGCGAGGCTACCGCAACCGCTCCCGCTCCCCCCGTCGCGATCGCGACTCGGACAGAGACCGCCGCAACAATCGCGGCGGCGACGACAACTACAGGCCCCGCGACTCGGGTGGCGCTAGTAGAGACAGGGACAGGGACAACAACAAGCCCAGCGCCTCGAGCTCGAAAGATGCGCCGACGAAGCCTAAGAAGGAGAAGTCTGCACCCGCACCGGCTGCCGGAGGCGGCGAGGAGATGATCATCGTCCACGTCAACGACCGTCTCGGCACCAAGGCTGCGATCCCGTGCCTGGCCTCGGACCCCGTCAAGATGTTCAAGATCATGGTTGCGCAGAGAGTCGGACGAGAGCCGCACGAGATTCTGTTGAAGCGCCAGGGCGAACGACCGTTCAAGGACAACCTTACGCTGGAGGACTACGGTGTGAGCAACGGAGTGCAGCTAGACCTTGAGGTCGATACCGGTGATTAAGAGGCTTGGAGGTTTGGATATCTTATGGGTTGGATTCATGCGATTGGCTTGGTCTCCTGCTATGGCGGGCTCGTCAAGTTCTGCGACAAATCCGATTTCGAAATGGTCGCACATTCGCAGCACTTTTACGGATGGGGCAACTCTGGCGTTAAGGGAAAATTACAAATCAGGGATTTAGGTCTGGAAGGTCTAGAAGTCACCGATACCCGTACAAACAAACAAACATGCTATGGCATGTAAAATCCATAATAGACCTGACCGTGTACTTTTCAAAATCCCCCTGATTCATTCCCGAGAATTCGATGCATCGCGCGCTCGCCCCTTCAAGACATGGTCACGAGTAAGGTCACATGACCCCGCGAGTTCGCGTCCAATGGCCCCGCTCGGTCCGTCGCGCCTGCGACGCGCCCTTGTCTTGACATTGGCCTAAACTTCGCCGTTGACTCAAAAAAGCGACGGTTCACACACACAATTGCATCCATTCCCCCGAATCTTTTGTCAGAAACATTCTCCTTCACACCTTGGATAATTTCGCCAAAAAATCTGGACATTTATGCCCAGCCCGCCTGCAGCGACACTCTTCCAACCGTCTCACACTTACACCATCACCATGACAACCACATCTACCATGAAGAAGACGCCCACGGCGCGGGACATCATCTCAATAGCCATTCCCGAAGGCGAAGGCATGAAGACGCAACTAGAACACATCGCCCGCTCAAATCGCACCGCATACGAGAAAAGGGTTTGGACGGCCCTGTGCCAAGTACCCAGGGGCCAAGTCACGACGTACGGCATCCTGGCGGCTCATCTCAAGTCATCGCCGAGAGCCGTCGGCAACGCTCTGCGCCGGAACCCTTTTGCGCCTCAAGTACCATGCCACCGCGTCGTCGCCACCGGTGGCGCGCTCGGGGGCTTCAAGGGCAAATGGCCAAAGAACGGGGAGGGCATTACTCTGGATGAGAAGAGGATGCTTCTGAGGAAAGAAGGCGTGAAGATTGATTCGAGTGGCCGCGTTATAGGGTCGCCGTTTTTGGCTTTTATTTGAAGTCATCTATACAATTCAAGCATTCACGTTGATGGTCAACTTTTCCACGGATCTGTACATCCCCCGCTGGCCCGTGATGACTTGTTTCTCGTTGGAAAGACTATGGTTCTCAGGGCCACAACCCTGCTTGACGAGAGATTTTGAGCCATTGAGAAGATAGGTCGGCAATGATCAATTATAATCGGAAGTCTTTCCCATGTTGTCGGGAGCGTCCATGCAAGATTGCGGCAAGAGGCCTTGGCGCAGGGCGGCACAGCACGCACTCCGCACATAAACAGACCCGTTACCCCACATGCAAGCATCGAAAGTTTTTTCCCCAGCATACAATCCTCATGCCAAATCGAATATGGGCGGGATGGTATTGGTGGTGTGGAGAGGGACGGGATGACAGGCGACCTGGTCTCATAAACAGACGGAGATATGTGGCTCAGTAAAGTCTGGCGACCAAGATAGAAACAAAGGTTCTCAATATCATCACTTGGCCACATTACTTGGAGAAACCGAATATCCTGAAAGATCATTGTCATCAATGTTTAACCCCGTACATTGAAGCTGGCGTCGTATAGACTCCCACCGCCATGTGTGACACGATCGCGAGCGTACCTTACCTTACATTAGGTAGGTAGCATGGGTCTCGCAGAGTATGACTCTGCCAAGCGAATGCTACAACTCGTGGATGTAATTTGAAAAAAAAAAAGAAAACAAAGAGCAAAAAGTCAAGTGATGATACCAAGTTGCGAATGAGAACGGACTACTTTATACAGGAGCAGACAGACAATTCGAAATCTTTAGGGGGAAAAAAGAAACAACAGGAGCCAATCGAGGATCGAACGCGGGAGTGTCGAAAGGTAGCAGAGCATCATGCACCAGTCAACACTTCAAGGCTTTCGCCCCTCGGCCATCAGGCCCGGTATTTGTTGTTAGAATGGGAAGGCGTTGGACTGGTAATAAGGCCTACGGGTTCAAACCGACGAATACTCAGTAACGAGTGCGTATTCCTGGAAGCTGAATACAACCACCTCGAGCAGTGTTCCTTCCTTCTACGCCCAAGAAACGCCTGGTTTTTAGCGTTATATAAGGTCATTATGTTGACAGCAGTAGGTAGGAATACGTACCAAGCGCAGCTTTGCTCGAGACACGGCATATGTAAACACACTTAGACACGAAGACGTAAGATAGTGGAGGGATTTACCATATTTTCAATGAAAGTCATCCCATGTCTATCGCCCGCTCTCCAAACACACAGTACCTCCTTCGCAATGTTTAATGCCGCAAAAAGAACTTTACTGAGCCCAGTGCTGGGCATATCGTTTTCATTCGGACGTGGCAGTTCACCGACATCGTAGACGTACCTGAGACGTTCTCAGGGTTCGCCCACCGGCAAGGCCATCTGCATTGGGTCTTCTCGCCGGAGACAACTCCTAGTACATGCCGAATCTGCCCACTTGACAGCTGACAAACAGCAACGGCTTCGCGATAAGCCTCTGCATCAGTCCAAGTCCATGGGGACCTAACCCACTCGGTCGCAGACCGCACATCCCTCGAGCTAGACTTCAGAGAACAGAACCTCGGAACCTGGACGACTACCCACGTGAGGACGACTGCCACTAGTCCTCTGGTATAAGTGGGCTTCCTGCAGTGCAACACTGCCTAGGGACTTGGTGAACACCGATAGATCCGGACCGCAGCCACGGACAAGAGCCCCAAGATAGGAGAGGACCACAATAGACAGAGCCTCAAATTTTCCCAAAAGAGACAAAGGAACAAACGAAGGAAGATAAAGGCATCCGTAGATAAAAACGGCCCCCACCATCGGAACGTATACAGGGTAAGAGTTGCGTCAGCCTCCTAGGCTCTCCTAGAGACTCCATCGAACTAACGTTGCGCACGAGGTTCAAAAGAAGAATTGATCCCCGAGATGATCCCGGCGCAGACATCCCCATCCGAATCCACCGTTTGCCTCCCGGCCCCTCATCCCGTTGACACCAGCACGTGTTGGCGCCGGAAAAAAAAAAACGCAGAATACAATGGCGCGTTGGAGAGCAAGGTAAGCAAGGCACGATATCTGTAAGCAAACGCAATCTTGAAAGAGAGGAGAGGGAAAATTGAGGACACATGTAAAGGCTGCTGCTTTTCTGCAGCGCTCAGAGGCGCAGCGGGAAGATGCTAGGTTCGGCACTCATCCGAAGCTAAGAGATTCGCTGCTTCGCATAGGGTTGCGGTTGGAACCCCCTAGTGCCTCTCTCCATTTGCGGGGCTGTTAGACGTTGAAGTCGATTGTCCGAAAACTTGGAGTATATCGCCGAAGTTATATGGGCGCATGGTTCGATGTCGCCACATGCGACGTTGACAGACTGCTAGTTCAGACCGACCCCAAGCCCCCTTACCTCTGCGTCTTTTCCGTACTTCGCCCGAGGCTAGCGAGTGACATCGTAGCCCCCCTAGGACGGTTCAGCTGAAGGATCTAAACTCGGGAGGACCGTTGAAACCTTGAAATGGCGACACAAGCCGCACCTAATTCCTCGTAGGAAACGCAACGGCGGCGCTATTGGACGGACAAAACGGGGAACCGTGTTTAAAAAAGAAGACCGCCGCCTTTGCGTGTTTGTGGTTGCGTGGCGTGGTGTGGTTACTAATACTTACGGGAGAGGCGGCAAACTATTGTTTTGTGCTCCGGCAGATTTAATCCTGCTCAATCTGTTGGGACTCGGTCGTTGGTGGTCCTCAAAATTTGTATCTGCCTTTGCCCAAAGAGGGAACACGTCCTTCCACCATTGGAAAAAGAAGAAAAGAAATATGAGATTTCCTGATCGATGATTGCCGTCATTCCCACCCCGCACAGAGCGTACTATGTGTGCATGTCTTAGCTGACGCTTTGTTTTTTGCCAACTCAAAATAGACGGCTTCTCAACCTAGCGAGTCAAGTCTACACACAAACCACCGACTGACCACTGTATACGCGAGTCGGCGGGCGTCAAATCAATCAGCGTAGGGCAGAAGAAAGTCCCATCGGCCCTTCCCGCTTGTCCCCAAGACGGCCCCAATCTCTTGGGCGGACGCGTGATGGCCCCCATCGTCCAGTGTCCGCGGCGATGTAGCAACGAAACCAGCATCAGGCCTGTGCTGCAGGAACAGGACGAGAGAACCCGCGGAATGGGAACGGGACCGGATTGCAGGCGCGCAGGATCCTGATCAGGGGGGAAACAGGGGGCTCTTGGGGTCTCCATCGGACCTCGACTGGCCCAGTAGGGGAACATCGGGGCCGAGGCAAACTCCACGAGTCCGCCCAGCACTAGCAGGGGACATGCAGATACGTTGATTAGGTTCCATGCACTTGATTGCTCTCAGTTCGCTTTGATACAGGGTGTGTGGACTCTGGAGATGTAGTCAGTACTCTGGAGAGCAGGTCGTGCTTCCTGCGTGTTCATCCCATGCGAGCCGCCCTGACCAGCACCCCGGCAGTTGGCGAGATTCGAATTTCATGCGAAGTCAATACTTTGTAACTTTCTCTGACTCTTCCACGAACCTTTCTAGAAGCCTGCCGCATCGAACTACAGGCTTCGCACGTCTCATTTGCCTCCTCTGACATCTAAGCCCCCCTCTGTCTTCTCGGAGGGCTCCTGGACGGATGCCAACGCTTTCTTCCTCACCCGAACGCAACAGAAACTCGTGTCGATCCCCGGGTCGAAGCAGAAAAGTGAATGAGAAGCAAGTGCAAATTGTGGACTGCACTCGACTGCCCTTGTCCATGCCCTCTTACCCTCGCTCCAAGGAGAGAGACCGAAAGAGAGAGAGAGAGTGAGAGGGAGAGAGAGGGAAGGCTGAAGAGGGCTCCGCATCTACCCCGTAACCACCACACTATCCCGGAGGATGCTGCCCAAAGGGGAATAATCCTAGCAACAGGCCCTACGTAGTAGACTGTCGTGGGAGGAGAACTCGCGACTCTCGACACACTTGATTGCTTGACACTGCCCATTCGAGAAGGGAGATTGACATCCATACCCCCCTCGCCATCTATTGTCCGCCCCCATGCCTCAAGCACCATGGTCAAGCAACACCGCCCGCCCAGCGATGCCAGGAAAGGTCGCCGCCGCACCGTGGACAGATCCCTGGTAATTGATGACCTTGCTCTCGAGTCCCCAACCGGTTGCTTCTCATCGATATAAAGACTCTCCATCATGGCCCTCCCACTTCATGAACTCGTCAGGAGTCTTCCCTGCAGCCTAGTCACTCTTTGATATCCCCCCTTGTTGGGCTCTTCCCTCTCCCTCAAGGCTCCAAAAGACTTTCTCCGTTCCGCTCCCTTCTTCAGCCCTGTCAAGATGAAGTCCTCCGCCGTCATCGCGACGGCGACCCTGGCCGCCGCGCCCTTTGCCGCCGCGAGCTTTCTCCCCAAGCGCGCCAGCAATGCTACCTGCCATTCTCTCCCCGGCGACGCCAGCTGGCCCGCCACGACGGCTTGGGATACCCTCAACACCACCGTCAGCGGCAAGCTCATCGCTACCGTGCCCATTGGCTCCGTATGCCACGACCCCAACTACGATGAGGCCGCCTGCACGGCGCTGCAAGACTCGTGGACTCTTCCTGAGACTCAGTGAGTTGAAAACCACTGTTTCCTTGATCTTGAATTGTACAGTCAAATACTAACATACATCAGCTTCCCCTCCTCCTCCTCCGTGATGCAGAGCTACTTCGCCAACCAGTCCTGCGACCCCTTCACGGACCGCACGCTTCCGTGCCTGCTCGGCAACTACGTCAACTACGCCGTCGAGGTGACGTCCGCCCAAGACGTTGTCGAGACCATTAACTTTGCGCGGAAGAACAATGTCCGATTCCTCGTCCGCAACACGGGCCATGAGTAAGTTTAAACCATACCCTCTTTTATGCTGAGCGCCCTCCCTTCCTATAAAGTATGCCCGCTCATCCGTTCGACCCCAGCCATCTTGGCCGCTCAACCGGTGCCGGAGCCCTTGCGGCGTGGACCCACAAGCTCAAGGAAATCACCGTGACCTCGTGGTCCGACGACCTCTGGTCCGGCCCCGCAATCAAGATGGGCGCCGGCGTTCTCGGTTACGAAGTTACCGAGGCCGGCAAGTCAGCCGGCCTCGTCGTGGTCGGAGGCGAGTGTCCTACTGTCGGTCCCGCCGGTGGCTACATCCAGGGCGGCGGCCACTCGGCACTCACGACCAACTTTGGCATGGCCGCCGACCAGACACTCGAGTTCGAGGTCGTCACCGCCGACGGCAAGATCGTCACCGCCTCCCGCACGGAGAACGCTGATCTCTTCTGGGCCCTCAGCGGCGGCGGCCCAGGCACCTTTGGCGTCGTCACCTCTGTCACTGTCCGCGCTTACCCCGACGCCACTATCGGCGGCGTCGGCCTCCAGACCGCGGCCTCTTACACGACCCAGGACAAGTGGTGGCAGATGCTCGACGCCTTCCACTCCCTCCTCCCCGGCATGACCGACCAGGGCGCCATGGTCGTCTTCCTCTACAGCAGCAGCATCTTCGCCATCAACCCACTCACGGCCTACAACAAGACGGCCGAGGAAGCTAAAACCATCCTCCAGCCCTTCCTCGACGTCCTTGCTAACCTCTCCATCCCTTACTCCTCCTCCGCCTCCAACTACTCGAACTACCGCGACCACTACAACAAGTGGATGGGCCCCCTCCCCTACGGCCACGTCGAGGTCGAGTCCTACAACTTTGGCTCCCGCCTCGTGCCCCGCTCCGTACTCACCGACACCGCCGCCCGCGCGAAATACGTCTCGGCGATCCGCTACGGCGCTGACAACCACGGTGTCCTCTCCGCCGGCGTAGCCCTCAACGCCACGGCGCCCGCTGGTGTCGACAACGCCGTGAACCCGCACTTCCGCAACGCCGCCATCCACGTGCAGTACTCGACGGCGTGGAGCAACGACCCGGCCGACTGGGACAAGATGAAGGCGGACCAGAAGACCATGACGGAGGACGTCATCCCGCCCATCGAGGCCGCCACGCCCGGGTCCGGAAACTACGTCAACGAGGTCGACTTCAACATCCCCGACTGGAAGGAGAAGTTCTTCGGGGCCAACTACGATAAGCTGCTGACTATCAAGAACAAGTGGGATCCCCAGGGCGTGTTTTACGCGCTCAAGACGGTCGGTAGTGATGCGTGGGATGTTGCTGCTGATGGGCGCATGTGTCGTGCATAATTTGTGATGATAATGGGGTTTAAAATCAGCGTCTAGGAGTTTTGCTGTGGGTTTTTGAGTACATATACATCTAATACAGACAAGGGCGCCGTATAAACGACCTCATTTATCTGGCTAATCATAGTTTGGCTTGAGATTTTCGTGATATGCAGCCAGTGATGCTCTCCAAAGCCGAGACTCGAGGTATTCAGAGTCTGATCGGGAGTTGAGGGTCTCAGACTCGTTCTGATCGCCAAGATCACCGAGATCTAACATCAATGTGACTAACCATGAACATCCAGGTCAACTCCCATCCGTCATTGTCATTAAGGCTGACTCTTCCCACTTCTGATTACGTGAGGGCCGCCCATCTCCTCCCCTGTCCTCCCCCGCCTCTGTCTCTGTCAGATCCGAGATGCGTAAGCTCTCCCACAACCAAACCAATTCAAACGCATCAACCAGCTTCTGGTCGCCTTGTGGGCTGTCAGAACCGATGAGAAGGCGGAGCAACAGTGCTCCACCTCTCCGTGTCTGCCTGGAGCCTGGTGAGAATGTCGGTATGCTTAACAGCATCGCAGCCTCCAATCCAAGCCCCCAACTCCCGGCAGCCTCGCTGGGCGTCGTCAAAAAGGGAGGGGGGCTGCTGACATGACGATGGCAGGACTAAACCAATTCATGTCATTGGCTGGAGCGGCGTGAGACAAAACTCGGGTGTAGGAGCCTTGGAGAGGAATAAAGAAGCTCGGGAATCCTTCTTTGCGACTTTCCTCCAATCTCTTGGAACGGTATTACGCACCTGCCTTACACGAAGCAACGTAATACGGGCGTGCATCGAAAATGAACTGTAGCTCATCATCCTCGTACTCGGAAAGCCTCCCTGCGTCCCTCACCCGACGCCTGTGTGCTCGTTGCTTCGAGCCGTACGAGTCCCAGCATGTCTGCTACCAATCACAGAAACCCCTGTGCCGGAGCGAAATGACGCGCCGTCAGTGTTGAAGTCGGGTTGGTAGGTACAGTACCGGCCAAGCGATTATCGGTGTCGGCGTTGGCTTACATGTAACCAGTAATGAACCCCGAGGGGAGTTCCGATGTGGTGAGCATCCCCGCTTCCTAGGTATGGTTTTACATTGACTAACTTTCTGTGATCAGGCCAAGAGAGGGACATCTGAGAGAGTAGAGCAATCGGCCTTACCAAGTAAGCACCTTAATAGTTCTTGCTATTGGTTTTGATTGTCGTACATATTGGGAGAACCGGGCAATAATTTCAGGAACCAAGTTGAATTATGCCTCATTAACGCATCTTTGAGCAGTGTCGCATCCTGCCTGTATACGGACCAGTGCATCCTTGGTCTGCCCATTTGTATTATCACAGTAACGAATTTCACTCTCATCGGTAGCCGCAAGGCCAAGTACTCATCAGCTTGGGTATTAACGTCTCATTCCGTATGTTTTTTTTTGTATCCCGGCCCCGAAAGTCATGCTGTGTATTGTACAAGCGTAATCCACGCGACCCAACACCGCCAGCCATGCCAACCGCCCAGAAACCAGAATAGGGGAACCGAATGCCTTGATTGTTCATAACAACATCCCTACCCATCCATTCCTTTACCAGCCTTGACACCTATCAAAGCCATTGTAGTAAATCACGTTGCGAAGGGCGTCGCCACGCCCCGGTCGTAATGCGCCGTCGCGTAACGCGCGACGCCGCGTAGGAATTGAGCACACCCAATGACCGCTGAGAGGCCAGAGAACGCCGCTGGACAGAGCGTCTCTATGACTCTTCAGTCCGGCGGGGTCCGCGCTGGGAGATGGAGCCGCCGCGCTGGCCACCACGTCCCCGGCCACGGCCGTCACCACGGTGTCCACGGCCGCGCCACTCGGCACGGCCACGTCCGCGGTAGCCTCCCTCACGATCGCCACGGCCGCGGTTGCGACCCTGGACCTGGTGGAAGCCGTCGTTGGGGTCGGCGGCAGCGGGAGTAGGGGTCTAAGGACAGTCAGTATTTTAGTCAGCCAGCACAACTCGTAGAGACATACCTCGGGTTGGGTCTCGTGATGCTCGGGCTGGTCATCAGCCCAGGACTGGGTGTTGGAAGCGGCAGCAGGGGTAGCCTCGACGCCAGTCTCGGTCTCTGTAGGATCGCGGGGAACAGAAACCCATTCCTGAGACAGCGACATGCTGTTATCGGCTGACTGGTCCCACTTCTCGCCAGCAGCGTTACCGGAGCCGCTGCCGATGTTTGCATTGGTAGGGATCTCGGTGACCGATTCCTCGGTCTGGCCGTTGGTGATGGCAACATCGCCAGCCTCAATCTCGTTCACGGTAGCATTGGCAATCGTCGGATCGGTAACGGCTTCCGTGGCCGCAGTCTCGGTCTCAGCGGACACAGGCTCGTCGTAAGGAGACTTGTAGGCCTTAGCAGCTGCCTTGACTTGGCCGACTAAAGAAGGTCAGCGCGGAATAGTTCATCAGATTGTAGGGATAGAGCTTACAGGTCGTATCGAGCAGCTCGCCGTTAACGCTGTACGTCTGCTCTTCGGTGCCGTCAATCAGCTTAAGCATGGTGGCGACCGCAGTGTCGTCACCCGTGTAGATGGCGAGCAGGACACCTTCCAGAGCGCGGTTCTCCTCATTAGCCTGGTCGGCATCCTCGGAGCGACGGGCGGCAGCCAGGCGAAGGAATTGTGACAGAGTGAGGAGCTTGCTGTTGATGCTCTTGCTAGAATCACCATCCAGCTGGGCCTTCACCTCGGCGACGGCAGCGGCCTTCTCCTTCTCCAGCTTCTCGGCAAAAGCCTTCTCGAGCTCTGCCTTCTCGGCCACGGCACGAACGCGGTATTCCTGGTCGATCTTCTTGTACTGGGCCATCTGCTCCTCGTACTGGGTGATCTGTGCCTGCAGGGCAGGTTTTTTCAGGTACTGCGCCTTCTGGTCGGCATTGATAATGCGAGCTGCGACGAGGTCATCGAGGGACTTGCCGGCGTTCTCTGCAATCAGGTTGTCGATCTTTGAGGCATTGGTCTGGTGGGCGGGAAGTTAGCTTATGAACCTTGTCACAGAGAGGGGTAAAGGGCAGGCACGAACAAGCTTCTTGTTGGTGTTGCGGATGTTCCTACGGGGGGCAATTAGCACACGATCAATGGGGGAAGCTCCAACCATAGACAACAACGCACTTCTGGATCTCGCGAATGTATGCAGTCTCGCCGGACTCGTCAGCGGCGTCAGCCTTCTCGGGAGCGGGAGAGGCAGTGGGAGCAGGGGACTCGGTGCGCTCGGCGGCCTTGGCCTTCTTCTTCTTGGCCGACTTGGATTCGGCTTGGACCGCGGGGTTCTGAACGGGTGAGGCGGCCATATCGAAGCTTGGGAGGAGCGCAATCAACAGGGTCAGGGTCGCGTGAGCTTGGATGCGAATTTTCCAGGTGTAGTGGTGGCCGGCTACGGGCAGAGAGCGCGCAGGTGAGATGGAAGTTAAACAAACTCGTTGAGAGTAAGGTATGGTAGGATGTGCAATCGTAGGAGGAAGTCCTAGGATCGAAGAAAGATACTCAGAGGAGAGGCGTTATGATGGGGAAAGTTTATGGTGAGGTTGTTGGAGAGTCGAGGCGGATGTGCAGGTTTTCGGAGGATCAAATTTGGAGGTTCACGGAAGATGACACTCAAGCTCGTAGACGGCAGGCAGGCAGCTCGGGCAGACCGCAGGCAGTGGAGGGACACTGTCGGCCGGGAGAAGGTACCTATTCGGCGGGGGGTTCAGGCGTTCAGGCGTGATCCAATCTGAGAGTGGATTCTAGGAGCCGGAAGCATCCCTGCCGCCAGGCTCCTTTCCCCTTAGGTTCCCCTTCCCCTTCCCCTAAAACCCCTGCGTCCACTCCCCCGCCGGGGTTCTAGAACTGGTCAGAAGAAAAGGTACATTCACTTGTACTGAGGTGGAATTTGGGATGGATGCCGGTACTCAGGCACCTCGAAAAGGCATTCTTCGGTTTCAATGGCTGGCATGTTCTCTCTGTCATCCTCCTCTCCAATAGCTCTACGATAGTGTTCTAGCAACCTCCTTTGAGCCGCTGTCGCAGATACTGATTCATCGTCTAACAGCTCGCGACAACATTGCCTTTTGTGCCTATCCGTACTGGCCCTCCTTGTTCGGATGACGTACCGGACGGGGCCTCTCAGCCTTGTATGGAAATAGCCGGCTCTCTCAGGGTAGGTCTGTGTTCATGTCCGCAGTAATCCGCTTCCGCCAGCCTCTCAATGGCCGAGAATGATTGCCAAACCGCTTTGCGTCTGCGAGAATCACCCGTGCCATCGATAGTAACGAATCAATCCAATGCAGATCGCCAAGTTTGCATCGACCAGGGCGTTGTAGACATTCAAATGTCGACGAGGCCCCCGGCCGATGCAGTTCAGACGAACGAGCCACTGAGCACCAACGCCTGGCTCCTCCAACCATTGCGTGCCGACCCAATGAACGAAATGGTACCCAGCATAAGGCGAGACTCCAAAGTCCTACTGTGTTCCGTCAAAAGCAAATACCCAAGCCTCGCAGTTGCGAGGAGCTTATTGGGTCTGCTCTCGATTGATCCCTTCTACACCAGGCATACTGTATTGTCCCTGATCGTTTTTTGACCACATCAGGATGGCGTTCTGGCTCATTCAGCCCAGTTGATACCATTAAAAACCTGAGGTGATGAGGTTTACAGCCATGTGAACGTCTCGAGTCGCTTCGGGAAATCTGATGTGGATGAACTAGGGCTTCAACCTCGGAACTTGGTCAGAGTGTCCTGTTAAACATTTCGTTAGCCTCCCGATACATTTGATCATGAATCTAGTGTGTTTGGGCAACGTACGGAGGTCACCTTCTTGACGCTCCGGGCCGTGATACCCCTTTCGCCAGACTTCTTGGATTCAATGGCGGCCTCTTTGACCAATCTATCAGAGAGTCAATATCGAAAGGTGCCAAGACATCGTGCTAATAGCTTACGTCTGCATAAACAACACGTAGTCGAGATAGATCTAGCAGGTGGTCAGCGGGGCGTCCCAGGCGCGCGGTCAGCGACTAACCATAACGTCCACATTCTTGCTGAGGTTGCAATTTGAATGGGCCTTGATGATTTTCTTGACGGTCCCGCGCGGGTATGCCTTCTGACCGGGTGCCATTGCGAGCAGTTGCAAGCTGTGTGTAGCGGGTGGTGATGGTCGAGATCGCAGTCGCAGGACTGCGGTGTCGCGTGCGTGCGTGCTGTCGCGGCTCGGTGTCGCGGCTCGGTGAGACGTTGCGGTGTGGTGGTGGTGGGGAGCCTTTGTTTTGTTTGGCACAGGCCAGCGGCAGTTCCCGCGGTGAAGACACCTTGATTGAACCTCCCCCGAGAGTGGGGCAGTATATGACCCCTCCGCACTGTGTCGCGTCACTGTGACCCTCCTTCTGAGCTTTTTGGGAGCTCCAGCGCTGAGGCAGTCTTCCTGCTCCAAGCAGCTTGGAACACCATCGTTGAACACCACGCAACACGTCGCCGCCACAAATTATCAAGATGTTGTCACGGCGCATGGTATGTCAGACGTGCCGGGTGGCTCACGGTTCACGCTAACAACATCGCTCGCAGCTCACAAAGGCGGACGAGGAGTCCGTCGGCGACGAGGTCGAGGTGAGAAGGGAGGACCAGGACAAGATCAACAAGTTCAGTCGCCTGCATCAGCGCGAACTCATAATCGAGGAGGAACTCAAGGACAAGAGCGTCAGTCAGATCCCTACCGTTCGACAAGCGACATCATCTAATGTTTCCGTGCCTTTGCAGAAAGAGAAGGAAGAACTCGACGATCTCAGCACAGAATTGGAGCTCGCCGACGAAGACGAGACAGTACCGTATGCACTCAAGAAAAGAACCCCGATGAAGCGCCGAAGGACTATACTAACAATCGACGACAGATACAAGATCGGCGACGCTTACTTCCACGTATCACAGCCTCAAGCAATAGAGATGCTCGAACAGGCATCGACCAAGATCGAGGAGGATGTTGAAGGGTTGGAATCGAAGCTGGAAACAATCAAGGAGGAGATGAACCAACTGAAGGTTGAGCTGTACGCCAGATTCGGAAAGAGTATCAACCTCGAGACATGAAAAAATATAATCGAGAACGGGACTCAACTTCATCGTACGTCGCATCGCCGGTTCAAGTCGCACACACTCAGAGAAACTCAATTCCGTTGCCAAAGTTAGGAGGAATGTTTTTCCGTCGTTGCGGAAGTTGATGCGACTAGGAGCGATCTGTGGAGAGTCGTCTAAAGTTCCTCGCCGGTAGCTGCACAGTCTTTGGACAGCGCATCTATCCTCAGATGCAGCGGCGCATTCCACTAGCGGTGGCGTCTTGTACCGGTGACGGCATCTTTGTCGCTGTGACGAAGCGCGGCAGTCGATGGCGCTATCGCAAATACAAATGACCTCTGTGGAGGGGCAGCACGGAGATGCGGCGGGAAAGTACATCGCCGCGCCGCGGCCGGATAAGCGGCCCTCGAATACCAAGTGGGTCTTGCGGTTCGGCTCCGATGTCTATGACAAACCAATGGCGACACACGCCCTTCTTCCTCCTTAGTTTCCCCCTTCCCCTCATCAGCCGCGGACGGGGATAAGGCTTCGTCTTTTGTCTCTTACACCCGGCCAGTCAGGAATGCTTCTCGGTTGCTAAATTATGAAAAGATGGTGGGAACGAGGATTAGACCGGCTCGGTCCACAAGGGTGATCGGCCACATGCAGCGCGCAGTCACCGATTATCGGGCATCTAGTATCTGGGGCCGTTTTTCCTTGGACCATTATTCATCCATTTCCGTATTTGACGGCCACCCTCACCCACATTCGCACACTTGGCCCTCCCCTCGTGTCTCTTGAGATGGAGCTCCAACACAGAACCACACCCGCGTTCCAATCCGCTGCTCACGGTCCGCCATGGCTACCCCAAGCGAACCCACGGAGGACGCAGTCGATAGCCTGCCATACTTGCAGCGTGAGCATCCCCCATGGTCAGTAGCCCTCATCAGTAAGGTGTAACATTCCATAGGCAACAGGTCCTCTCTATCGGAGGCGGTGAGAAGGATAGGTGAAGATGATGCCCGCGAAAGATACGAGGCTTGTGCCGAAGAGCAGGGTCTTGAGGAAAAGAAGATAGCCGGCCCCAGCTCATCGAGTGATGAAGATGAGCAGACGATAATATCTTGGGAAGACAGTGACCCAGAGAACCCATACAACTGGTCACATGTATATTCTTCCGATCTCACGCTGCCAGACCCAGAAACTAACGAGCCGCAGACCAAAAAGTTCCTGATCCTTTGCCTAACCATGATGCAAGTTATTAACAGCACAATGGGGTCAGCCCTCCCATCCAACGCGATCCCATTCATCACCGCCGAATGGGGCATTACGAACGAGCAGCAGCAGGTCTTACCCATCTCCGTTTTCCTCATCGGCTACGTTTTCGGGCCTGTGGTCTGGGCACCTCTCAGCGAGCATTTTGGTCGAAGGATGTTGACCATCATAACCTTTGTCATGTTCACCATCTGGACTATGGCTTGTGCCCTCGCACCCAACTGGCCTGCATTTCTCTTCTTCCGCTTATTTACCGGCGTCTTCGCCAGCTCACCCATCGCTATCGTGGCCGGTATTCTTGCCGACATCTACGGTGACACCGAGACCCGCGGCCGCGCAATGACAGCCTTCATGGTCGTAAGTCATCCTGGTGACTCCCCGATATTCACTTACAAAGAAGACTTGCTAAACCTCGTAGACAACCACCTTTGGCCCCCTCTTTGCCCCAATCGTCTCTGGCTTCTGCTCCACAACAATAGGTTGGCGCTGGTCCTTCTGGGTGGCCCTCATCTATGCCGGCTTGACCCTCGTTCCGATCCTCCTTCTCCCCGAGACATACGCGCCCATCCTCCTGCTTCGACGTGCACGAAAAATCCGCAAGCTAGATCCCTCAGCCGCGGTCATTGCGCCCCGCGAGATGGAGAGCACCGACTTCAAGCACATCGCAACGGTCGTCCTGACCCGTCCTGTACGCATGATCATCTTCGAGCCAATCGTCAGCTGCACCTGCGCCTACCTGGCCCTGGTCTACACAATCTTTTACATGTCGTTCCAGGCCTTCCCCATCATCTTCCAGAAGCTGTACGGCCTTTCGCCAGGAGTTGCTGGACTAGCCTATCTACCCATAGGCGGCGGCGCCCTGCTCGTCGTACCTATCTTTCTAGGCTGGGAGCAGGGTCATCTTCGCGCTCAGCGTAATGGCCATACATGGGCAAAACGAGAGGAGTTCCGCCGTCTCCCGCTGGCTTGCGTCGGCGGGCCCTTATTCTTCGTCTCTTTATTCTGGCTAGGCTGGTCTTCGAGAGAAGGCGTCAGTTTCGTTGCACCCATGCTTGCGGGTATCCCTTTCGGAATGGGTTTCATGCTCATCTTCATCGCCTTGCTCAACTACCTCACCGACGCCTACGAGATATTCGCAGCCAGCGCCAATGCGGCCGCCTCGACTAGTCGATCTCTGCTCGCCGTTGTGTTGCCGCTGGCGACGACGCGCATGTTCAATAAACTCGGCATTGCAGGTGCTTGTAGCTTGCTTGGTGGCTTCAGTGCCATCATGTGCATCATCCCGTTCATCTTTATTTGGAAGGGTGAACAGATCCGAGAGGGGTCACGGTTTTGCAACGCGCTCAGAGAGAGGAAAGCCGAGATGCAGAGGAAAGTTGATGAGCAGAAGCAAAGAGAGGAGGCGAGGAGGGTCAGATTGAGGAATAATTCAGGGGGCCGTAAAGAGGAGGTTTGAGTGGTATGGGCCATGAAGTGAATGAATTCGATGAAGAGGAGGGTTAGGTTGATTCATCCATACCAGAGTTGGAAGCCCTGTCACAGGAGAGGCATGAATACCGTCAATGGAGTCGCATACGGAGAGTTGGTAGTAGACAGGGGTTGTCAATGATCTCTAGGAGTGAGACAGTGTCATCCTTTCTGCATACCTAGGATGGACCATACGGCCATTTCATCAAAAGTTCACATTCTCCCAGCAGAGATTCGATCAAGGCGGTTTTGGGGGGCGAAATAGCATTTACGGTGAGGCAGGGCTGAACGCACTTGTCCCTCCCAGAAGGAACGGAAACTGGCCACATCACTGATGCCGGTCAACAATAGCAAAAGTCCATGACACACAATACAATTTGCATCATACCCCAGAACTCCTGTCTCTATCATACCAGAAGTTTCCATGCTTGAAAACAAGACGGAATACCACATCAGAAGAAGTCCACGTCACGAGCTTGCTCCTCCAAGGCTTTATTCTAACTTCGCCACACGACTTGACTCCCTCCACATCTTCTTTCATGGAGTTCTATCATCAAGACGCGGGGTGACAAGTGGAAATTACTGTCTTGGCCAGGCTTTCCTCATGTCGAAGTGTTTACAAAGCGTCGCGTAACAGAGTGAGCCTCTCATCAATGCTGGCGAACCGTTCGAGGAGACTTACCGGGGGAACGATAGTCCCTCTCAGCTCCAAAGTTGAGGGTCGACTCATTGGTCAAAGTGACCAAGTGAAAAACAAAAGGAGCACTGCATAGAGTTCTCAAAGGACAATGACACAATTCTCAATACCTATTTCGTTGAATGGGAAATTCCGTAAAGTTTGATTAATAAATAGTGACAGAAGTTTACTTGGAGATTTACATTTAATTGATGAGACTACGTTTTGGGACTAGTATTCCGATTAGCTTTTGAGGCTATCTACGAGGTCCTCGCATACGATTGGCGGAGTGCCTGAGGCGAAGTCAACTTGTCCGGGCTCCAATAACCTTAAAGAATGTTCTGCTTCGAACAAACACAATCGGTATGCTAGGCACTTTTCATAGATTTCACTTCGCTTCATTACTAAATCGGAGCGTTTAGCACTTAAAAAAAAAGGTACATCCTATCACACAGCAAGTCCAGCGAGTATTATCCTACGATCCTCGATGGTAAGCCGTGGACCAACTAAGGTTATGAGGGCATTGGACCTGGGTTCCTAGGGTCGTGCCGTACTTAAGGTACTCTAGGTCAGCACTTTCAACCTCATAGCCTAGCTAGCTCGAGCCTCTATCACTTCCACCCGTATATCCTCGCGGAATAGTGGACTGACATGGCTAAACGTTGTTGGCCGGGGTGCTGGTGGGGAGATTAATTCGGGCATCCTCAAAGAGATGCTTTACCTGCACGGTCCCTTCAGACAGCGTAGTGCTATACCTGGCGACCGAAGTCTTCAGAGATCACGGACTCACAATTTCGTGAACATTCAGTGGTGGTGGAACAATCAGAGGGCTTAAATAGGCTGGCAGAGGCAAAGCCAGTCCCAGCCAGGTACCTAAGAGCTCGTCATACTCCCCGGCGGACGGGTTTTCCGAGCAATGGAGTTCGTTTCCCCTCTGAGATCCCTACGCCACTGTGCGCCTCACGCTCGTCTAAGGAGCCGCTCTACCTACCAAGTTGTGGTTATCAAAGTGACTGAGTTGTTACTGTTACATTTAACGTGACGGGGGAAGGATTGCGATCATCCCATTTACCGCCTCACCACACACGTAAACTTCTCAGCTATCAAGCACTCTCATGGTGCACCGAGGAGGCCTGCCTCGCATCATCTAGCTACTCACGGCCCGGACGCCACCAGAACGGAAGCCAGTAAGACTTTATGACCAATACACATGACCTTTGGAGCGACGTTTACAGCTGACGCTCACTTCAAATAGAAAACAAAACAGTGGAGGGCGCACTACACAAGTCAGGTCTGGAAAGGAACGAATCTTGTTGGTCAATGATGAGCATCGTGGGCAAAAAAAGTTACAAGGTCATCCACAAAATATTGGTCTTCCTGGTAGGTTAGTAGCCAGCAACATGGCCTTACAAGCCAAATCTCATCCCATGTCGTCTCAAGTTTCACAAGCAGTCGAAAGAAAGTTGAAATAAACTTCCGTTGTTTCAGCAGAGGAAAAACGTCTCCTCAATCAGACCAGGGGACGGAGACTTAAAACGTCGCACCAAACCTCATCCCCATTTTGACACTATTTGACCAAAGTCTCGTCGAGTAAAAAGTATATACACAAAGAATTGAAAAAAAGAGTTTTCTGGATTTTTGTGGCTTTCGCCAAAGGCAAAATAAAAAAAATCTTGTTTAGTCCCCAACGACCCGCTACGTGAATGCAATGATGCCGTTGTTTCCCAAAGAAACCCAAGAAACAAACATGCTTTGACCACCAGACAAAAAGGACAACCCTCGCAGAGGTGTCTCACTTTTGCTTTCCCGTCTAAAACAGAGGAAAAGAAGAACACCACACCATGAAAAAGCAGGCAGGACCGAAACATAAAGTGCGAGTTCATTGTATTTCCCCCCCGGCTCGAGTTGTTTTGTACAAATACTTCGCTTTATTTTCACCCCAAGAAGTGTATACAAGACAAAAGTGTAAGAAGGATAAGAATGTGTTTCTTCATGAATCATAGATTCTTCTCATAACCAAATATAGCTTGACATGCGGGGGGGAATCAATCTACATCAAACACTTAGAAGAGCTTGTTGGAGCGCTTGGCGTAGCCGGTAGGCTTGGCGGCGCCGCTGGGGACGGTGCCGTTGGTAGGGTAGGGGGCAACAGTGACGGTGGTGGAAAGGGTAACAACGTCCTCGTCGGCGGGGCAGTCGTCCTCATCGTCATCGTCGTCCTCCTCGGCGGGGCACTCATCGTCGTCACCGGCATCAGCGGTGGTAACGGGGGCCTCAGCGGAGACGGTCAGGCTAGCGGAGGGTGTGGCAGCGGGGGCAGAGCCACCGATGGTAACGTAGACAGTGGAGGCGGGAATGGTAACGGTCACGGCCGAGGGGCAAGCGCACTGGCCGTCAGCGCCGAGGGTACCGCTGGGGGAAGCGGACCCGGGGGTGGCACCGGGGCGCTTGATGGTGACGGTGCGGGTACCGGTAGAGGTGGCAGTGGTGGTGGTAGTAGGCTCCTCGGCGGCGGCAGTGGCAGAGCCAGCGGGCTTGGTGATGACGATGGTGGACTCAATGGTGGTGGGGATAGCGGTGGTGACGACGGAAGCGGTGGAGCCCTTGCCGACGGTCATGGTAAGGGTCTTGGTCGAGATGATCTCGGTGACGGTGGTCTCGACATCGCCATCCTCAGCGGGGCAATCATCATCCTCATCGTCGCCGCCAGCGGAAGGCGGGCTGGTGACAGTGGCGTCCTGAGCAGAGTTGGTGAAACCGGTGGACAGGGGAACGGAGGGAGCGGCGGTAGGAGTGGCAATGACGGGAGCGGTGCGAGTAGAGCCCAGGAGACCGCCGGTGGAGTGCTGCTGGATGATTGACTTGGAGATGCCGGCGGCCTCGGTGACGGGGCAGACGACCTCGGTCAGGACAACGACGTTGGTGACGACGAAGGTGGCGAGGTCAGAGGCGGAGAGGGTGCCGCTGCGGGCAGGGCAGTTGGTGATTGTAGGGGCGCAAGAGGTGACGGTAGCAACCTCGGTGACCTGGACGGTGAGGGTGGTGTAGCCGGCGGGAGCGGTGGTGTTGTCGCGGCGCCAGTGGAAGTGGCGGGGCTGGAAGCCGGAGGCGCTGGCGAGCGAGGCCATGAGGCCGACGGCGGCGATGGAGGACTTCATTTTGAAAGTTGTGTATAGGTTGGGTCCAACGACTCTTCAGATATCTTCCCAAGGGTAGATGGTGCTTGTTCGGATCGGGGATCGTAAAAGGGGCGAAAGATCAATTTCGCCGGGGAGGTTTCTCAACGTGTTGGCTGCAAGACACAGTTTGCGCAAATGAACGTATGGTATACTCGACAGAGAGCTTGGGTGAGGCTGAATGAATGGAATGTGTCCGAAGACTGACAACGAAAGACTGTGCGGTGGAGAGAGAAAGGCGAAAAGTGCAAGCAAAAGGCAGGAAGGGCGAGAAGATATTAAGAAGGGGAGAGGGAGGTCAGAGTCCTTTTAGCCCGTGGATCCGCCCATGGTGGACGTACATGGGAGCCTGGAGGGACGTGGACATGTGGATAGGATCGAAATCCTCGAGGAGGGTGGACTTGGTGGAGGGGGGTGGGAGCCACATTGGACCGTGGGCCCTTCATCTTGGAGGGCGATGCACCATGGGCCGCCATGAGAGGGCGACGCCATGGACATTGGGATTGCAGGTCCAGGGCCCGGCCGAGACCAGCTGCGCTTGCAAGGCAGGCCCAGCTTGCCAGCGCAGCGAGGGGAGAGGGACTTACGGAGTACGGAGAACGGAGTAGGTAGTCAGAGAGAGTGAGCAAGGCATCGTGTGCCTGGCAAGGTACTTTGTCGCGGTTCGGCGGCGTAGGCGCATCGCACCGCATTAGGGGTGGACCGACTGGGGCCAAACGCTTGCTTGGCCCACATGGGATCATTGGGATGACATGGATGTCAGGGAAGTGTGCCTTACAAGGTACTCCGTAAGGTAATGTAGTGTGAGGGTGAGCAGGAGGCAGATGGCAGGACGCGCGGGACTAGTCCGGCACCAAACAAGAGAGAGATAGGATGGCGGGATGGTACCTCGGGCTGATGTGAGTGAGTGAGGGCCGGAAAGTGAGTGGGCAAGTGAAGGTGAGAGAGAAAGAGTCACTTGGGTGAGAAACTGAGAGAGCGAGTGAGGTGAGGGTGTGGTGTGTGTGTGTGTCGTTGGGAGGAGGCACGGAGTGGAGATGCACGGATGAGATGGGAAAGAGACAGGATGACGGTACCGGGGGGGTCATCAAGGACCCTTGCTCGATGATCCAGGGGTACGAAGAACCGCTTCCCACCTTAGGAAGCTGGGCTAAGGCAGAGGCCAACTACCTAGCGGCCACCGCACCGCTTGCCGCACAGCCCTCGGCTCTTGCATGGGGCGAGAGATGAAGCCGCCTTTATTCCCCCCTCTTCCCTCTCAAGGAGTTGAGCGTCAAACCCACAGACGGAGCCCTCTCCATTCAAAGACAGGAGTGAGAGGACTCCACCTGCACCGGTGATGACAGCAGCCTGGGTGGCATTCGACGACGACGACGACGACGACAACGACAAACCTGTGTGAGTGATTATGAGTTTGCAATGATGTTTGAGTTGGGTAGCCGGTGTTCGACGGGAGAGGACCAGGGCCAGGTGGTTGAATTATTCGCAAGATGCAAGATGTGAGGTGTAAGTGTGTAAAGGGCAAGTAGGAATGGTAAGGTAGCACGACCGTTGATGTTGACTCCTTTTCCGACCTTTGTTTTTTTTTTCCAAGCTACGGCTGGACGTTGTGTTTCCCCTTGCCGAAACAGGGAAAGTCCTGGGTGGCGCTCCGCACCACCTGTCAGCCCGTCGTTGTCGTGCTCGCACCTGCCCATCGTCCTGGGTTTGCCAGTTGTCACCGCACTCTTGGCCGGATTACCCCTGTCGGCCCAACCCTTGCCATCCCGCTCTCCATATGCAGGTACCGCCAAACATGAGACACAAGCGTGGCCAATCGTCTGGATCCAGCCCATCCACACCAGGCGGAATCCCAGTCCAGATCGCGGCGACAGGCGCCCAGCCACCCCTGGCTTTTGGCGAGGGTCCCTGCGATAAGGTAGGTACTTTACGGATACCTTGCTGATCAATTTAATGAAAGATGTGATTGTGGATTTCATGGGACCATATCCGTACCTACGGATGTTCGTACCTTGCTACTGTGCTACAGTATAGATGCGTACGTGGTAGGTGGGAAATGAGAGAACATGCACTCACTCGCGTTTGTTTGCTACCCGTATCCCTATTGAGTCTATTGAGTGTGTGAATCTTCTTCCATTGCATCTTTACTGCTTCTTTGCATATGCATGCCGACGACAGCGCAAAAGTGGTCCAGCCCTCTCACCACCTTCTACGGTCTACCTTACGGATAGATCTCTTGCGGATCCAGTCAGTGGAGAGCGTAGAGAGATTGTTTGCTTAATCATCAATCGCGCGCGCGGGCTGCTTTCTTTCCTTGCTGTTCTTGCATCATGCCGAGTTCATGGCCTACTATGCGTTATGTACAGGTCGACAGCCCCCATCCCCAACCTGTATCCCGGCTTGTTCATTTTGTTTTTCATTGAGAGACCATAAAAACGGTGGAGATGGCCTGTTGGCCGTTGCCGCTGTCCCGTCCGCGGTCCCGAACCATGGACTTTAAGCCCTACACTACACAGGAACAGCTCGACGTGGGATTTTTGTGTAAGACCATGGGCCACTGTATGCCGTACGACAGTCAGACATACGAGTATCCGTCCGTATGCACGCACGGTCCAGTCGTCGTTCGTATGCGTCCAACCCAATCTGTGCGCATCATCTGCAAAGCTTCGGTCGACGGTGACAGACGCAACAGACCGCTAACCGACTGACCGACAGTTGGCTCAAGCTCGTGTCTGTATTTGGTCAACACTATCCGTACCTACCACATCGTATTCTCGCAGAAACGGCGATGCAAGTCTCAGAAATACCTACCTACCTAGCCAGCCGACCGTTGCATCAATCTGTTAGATTCTGTTTCCAATTTCTCCGTAGCTTGCCGTTCTTTCCCCTCACTTGAGACCCCAGCCACCTCTCCTTCTCTTTCCTCTACGAATAGGCTCTCACCGTTCATCTTTCATTGCTCATCCGGTTTAGCGCCGAAAGCCAACCAACGGCACATTGATAAATACGGCGGTTAAGTCTGATCCGGCGGCGCCAAACCAGAGTGAGCCACAAAAGGGCTAAAAATGAATCCGCCATGAGGGACTGCCGCTTAGCCGGAGGTCCGTCTGCTTGACGTGTGGTCGTGTACTCCGTAGCCCCGTAGCGTATTGGTCTGCTGTTGCGAAATCAACCAACCTACCTCGATAGAGTCACTTTAGCGACCGACCTTAAACCCACTTAACCTTAGGCTGACTGTTTTGACCGTGCGCATCTTGATATGACATGAGGAGAGGTGAGACGAACTATTCGTAGACGCGCTGGGGGGGGGAAAAGTTGTTGTAGTACTGGATGAGTAACGGATGATGAGCGCGCCGCCCGCGCGATGGCTGACTTTACGCTGCCGCCGAAACGATAGCCAGTCGATCCCTCTTGCGCCCCTATTTGCATGTCCTGTGCCTGTCGCCGGCCTACCTTACCGCTCACCGTAAATCCTTATCGGGAGCCCTGCCCTACGAAAATCCACATTGTTTGTGGTAAGTGTCAGTGACGTAACAGAAGACTGCACATCTCGATATGTACCAGTTCCGTTCCAGTGCAAGAGCACCAGCTGCCCCTGTTGCGACTTGACCCCTTCCCTGGGGGATATGGTAACCAAATGTGCGTCGGGAATAGTCCGATGAAGCTTGTCGATAGTGACATCTTTCAGTCGTGTTCAAATGTTGTATCAGGCTCCGTAGCTGGGGGTCGGGAGGGGAACTTCGAAGCAGAGGAGAAAATAATGAAGAGGAGCGGCAGTGCGTCGGCTGGCTTCATCCCCTCAATTCATTCCTTTTCATTATTGGGCGCTTTTAATCGCTTGGTCGACTCGGGTACCTTGCCTTAGACCAGATTTTAGCCAGGAACATATCGAGGCACCGACCAACAGGGAGTCTGCGCTCAGCCCCTCGGTCCCCCCTTTAGCGGATGACCTACGTGGTAAATTTGCTGATAATCTCTCCAGGAGTCCAGTCTCTACGGATATTGTGTAAGGTGTACGTACTGCTGCAGAGTCAAATATCAGGGGGTCGGATCAATGTGGCGTCTCTTCGGGGGGAGAATGGGATCGACGCGGTGGCCCTGAAATGGTCCATGGTGTGCGACGCTGTCGCGCCATGCGTTTCCAGACTTGTTGGAACAGAAACTTGGCCCCCAGGGGCCCGAACTAGTGTACAATGCAAGTGCCTCTGCCGCCGTGCCATTTCCCAGTCCACATCGTCGCATTGTCTCGACGCAACTCCAGACGGCAGTCGGGAGACAGAGGGCCACGATCCATCTACCATCTGCCATCTGCCGTCGCGGCCAGCTGTGCCAAGACATGCGAAACGTGTGCGCCGTCGTGGAGAAGAGAAAATTTCCGCCTTCTCCATGATCGTCCGTCAGAATCGAAGATGGAGTTGGCAATGCCGGGTCCAAGCTTTGTGAGTTATCGTCCTCCTCCGCAGCCCGTGATTCGTTCTTCACCGCTGCGGAATGTTTTCGTCTCAGATGCCACGAGGATCGATTCGTTCTGCACCATCCGGGGCTTGTTTGGAAATTGGGACAGGACTCGGATTTTCAAGCTCAGCCCTTTGCCGCAGCTGGCCTCAGCTGGTATAACGTGATTTCCAATGTCTTGTGTGTTTTCGTGTAACCGAGAAGGTGTGGATGGCCCTGCCGTGACCACCTGGGCAGCCAACCCGGTCGGAAACATGAGATCGAAACGGCGGGATGATCTGATGGAAATGGGCATCACCGGACGGAACAGAGTTAGAGTTCAGACTCATTCAGATGGCATACGCAGTAGACCGTAGCTCCAGTGCCTCAAACCCCAGTTCACCACCGAGTCCAATCACAATTCTCGCCATTTGGCTCACGGCCAACCATTGAATCCCCGAAGGAAATGGTTTCAAGCCCCCGAGGCGATACTCTTTTCCCCCCTCGACGCTGAGGTGTTGCCGCCCACGGTTGCATTTCGCACCGCTGGTCTACCAATCCTCGACATTTTTCTTCCTCCGGAATTGGTGGCGGGGACTCTCATCTGAGAGAGCCGGCGGGAAAACTGCGCAAAAGGACTCGAGGAGTCCAGAACTCGCGTTTCCGAGTTGCTAACCCACGGTGGACCAGTACCACAGTCCACGGTTCCTCGCCCCCCTCATCGGCAGGGGTATAAACAACAAACCTCCCCTTCTAGGGTCCACCCCAGAAGTCGCTGTCACAGACTGATTGTGTCGAGATTATGTCGAAATGTACGGATAGGTAGGTACCAGCTCCAGCGCAGCCGTCTGCCAGTGCTGACATTTCTGAATGCAAGCTGCGAGCTGGTTATCATTTTTCTTCCTTTCAGCTTTGAGCTAATAAGCATCAAATGAGTCGACGACTCGCTACCCGGTCCGTAGATCCCAACTTTCCGGACAGCCTGGCCTGGTCGGGTCTGGGTCTGGCCTGACCTTGACCAACCTGCACCTTGTGCAACTTTGCGATGGCAGCGATCCTGCAGGGTCGCAGACTTGACTAATCTTGCAGAAAATTCCCGCTGGAAATTGCACACCTGGAGCTTACATTATCTTCACCTGAAGACCCCGGACAATGGTGATGAGTCTCGTCACTCTGGAGTCTGGTGAGGCTTCAAGCCACTCGGACGCTGCCGTTTGCATCCTACCGGCGCATTCGGCATGGACGGTGGACTCTGAACCCATCGTCAAAACCGGAAGTGACCAGCCGAATGATGGATTGAGAGATTGCTCAAACTTGTCAGATTGCTTGTCAAGTTGTCAACGTCAGCCTGCACACAACCCGCTGACGACGGCAACACGGCCCCCGGCCGGTCTTAGACAAGGCGGAGGGAAGTTGGCCCCGAATCGGCGACTTCGGTTCCCTCTTGCTCCTCCAGGTAGCTCGGTTGCTCTGCTCCTGCTCCTTCTCCTTCTCTGTCTCCTTCTCCTTCTCCGCCCCTTCCTCCTTGGGGTGGCCCATCGTGAAGTCGGTCCCCAGTGCATGCAAGACTCAAAATGCTTGAGATGTCTTACCTTCCCTAGGTAGGTTAGGTAAGGTACCTAGGTAAGTACCTGCTCGATCTCCCGTCCCTCAGGCAAACCGTATCGGCGTCGGCCCATTCCACTGCATTTCGCCCCGCCAGTTTGTCTTTCAACCTGGAACCACCATCGGACTATTCGTGTGTATTTGTAGGGAACCTTCCTTCTAATGCCTGGATGATCTTGGACCAAGACACACCAAGACGGTAGGGTAGACCACCCATCCATCACCCCGCTTTGCCTCCCGCTGTTGCTTCTTCCAACCTCCCCCCCCTGCTTCCTACACCATCGCATGGTCTCCTCAGATCCCCCCTCACACCCCTCTTGCTCAGTCGCATTGCGCCGCCATTGCCGTTCCCGTCCCCTGCTGCGAAGGCTTCATGCTGTTTTAATCCTGCTAATCAAAATGTACCGACCAGGCGAACCAAGTCGGAACACTCGTCAGAAAACGTCAAACACGGTAGCTCCCTGACGCCGCCTCCTAGAGAGCTGGGAGGGGTTCCTCCTGTCTGACACCCACGTCCTGTTTTGAGTTTTGCCGCTTGCCATTGTTTGCTCAGCAGCGGTCGCTCACCCGAACTCCCAACCCTGTCTGCGAGTATCATGCGGCAGCTCCGTCCCATAACCAATTACGTCAGGTCACCCTTTCGAATTGCCGCATCTTGAAGTCCACGAAAGACATCCAGAAGTGTGCGCTTTTTAACGAGTCTAGAACCTCGGACGACAATCAAGTTGGCCTATCAAATGGTAACCAGCCTCATCGCTTCCATGTCTCGTGTGGAATTTGACCCAAGGCAAAGATTCCCACAAACCAAGACGACCTGCTGCGCCACCCATTCGCACTGGCGTCCTTGTAGGGCACGACGGCGGTTGCCTCACCGGCCGGTCCGCTTTCGGCCGTCTTCCACCGGCCGACGGCCCGGAGCCTCTATCGCCGACCTCACGACATGAACAGTCTCGGCTATCTCGACTTGATCTTCCGATGGTTCCACCCGCCAACGAGAGATTATCGAACTTGGGCGGTCCGCAGCTGCTTAGAGGCAACCACTACTTCCCGAGATTTCTGAAGTTATGTCCACGGGATGCCTTCTAAGGAACGAGGATGTGGCTTTTGCTATCCATACCGAGATGGATCGCCCAAGTTTGTGCTCTTCAGTGCCAAGTGGCTCAAGACATTGTTGAAACACTGGCGTTTGTGGTTCGGGAGCCACTGCCTTCTCGACAACGTTGTTTGACTGTAGTCAAAAAAGTTCCCTTGGAGGGCAAGGCCAACGACATCAGCCAGCATGATGAGTTGCTTAACCATAGTTGGTCAGTCCGAGAAGTTCAAAATAGAGCCCTCTGGAAAAAAGGATCAAGTTTGGATGCGTTGAATTAAATACTAGCAGGTTTTAAGCCGAAGTAGTATCTCAACGACTAATGCTTGCAAATGCAGCTGCATCCAAGCGGGTGGTTCGAAACGCTGCTCCAAGGCGATGCTTCGAATCGATGCTCAAAGATAGGCGGCGTGGTGATATCAAAAAGGAGCCGCTCAGAGAGACCAACACTATCCATTGTGTAAGACATCAACGGATCGTGTGTCAGGCAGAGCATCTCTGGTGAAGAGCACATTGAACCAATGTGTGCAAATCAAACGACTCACAGCTTGAACCATACTCGACCATGCACAACAGTTGCGACACAGGCCATATCAGATGGGTTGAAGAAGGGCAGCGGGCATCTGGAGATCTTAAAGCTAGTGCTCAACCGCAATTTCAAGCGCACACGCAGTTCACAGTTGCAGCTTAGCCTTTGTTGCACGCTCTCACTAGCCGCAAAGCCTTGTTGAGGGAGATCAATTGCTATTCTTTCATGGCTGCTGCTCAGCCTGGGTACCCGTAGTGCTTGATGATGTCGTCCCTGGTGACTTCCCCCAGTGAAAGCAGCAAGTCCTCGAGAAGGAGCATTCAGGGGCTCCCGCTGTTTTCACCCACCAGAGGATGATATCGTCAGGTCAACCTCACACCACTTGACTGGGCCTTCTGCTTTCCTCTTCTACCCTCTGTTCTCCACAGAAGAAGCTACCTGGCAGATTTCCCCTCTCTTCAACCTCTCTTTTTGGCCTTGGCCTGCTGCAAGACTTTTCATTTGCATCATTCTCCTCTTGGGCAGGTCGAGTAGTTTCTTGGATTGGTACCGAGTATTTTTCGCTAGCCATCCGACTATCACCACCTCTTCGCTCGTTTGGAGACCAAAGCAACCACGGAGGAAAATCAGCAAGATGGTGCGCGTCTGTTGCCTTTCCATCCCCTCCAAGAAAAAAGGGGAGGATGAAGACGCAAAGGTAAAGGAGGCGGACTCACAAGAGACAGTCGCGAAGGACATGAAGTTGAAGGACGCGACCTCGAAGGAGAAAAGTCGGGCGGTCCAGGTTTCGAAGCAGCCCGCTGTCGAACTGATCAAGTTACCTCCCCCAGCCAAATTGCCCGGCAGCAATTACAATATCGAACTCTTGCTCAGTGGAAACAATACCACCGGTTCCATCGCGTCCTCTCACCGGTCGTACATGCGCTCTCCCGAGTCGGATTTCATTCCTGATCCCACCGAGGTCGAATACGCATCGGACCCCGAGGATCATATCGAAGCAACCAGAAGGAACAGCACCTGGAACAGACTCAGCCGACGCCGTTCTGACAACAGCAACAACCGGTCTGAAAGCCCAGACAGTGACAAGCGGGTGTCGATTGTCAGCATCCAGAGGCCCTCTTCTAATCCCTCTGCCAAGGAGGCAGATGGCTCCCCACCGTACAACCAGGCTGCTTATACGTACTCTGTGAGACAGAATACCATCAGGCGCATTCAAGCCGACCTCGAGAGCGAGCATAGTTCGCGGTCTGTCACGCCTGGAAGTAAGGGATTCCGTGGGTTGGAGACAGTGGTGGAGATTGCCAGTAATCACCAAAACGAGCGTCAAAGTGGTCCGCGGGACGGAATAGAGCTGGAAATGCACCCCGACATTTCTGCGGTTGATATCGCCTGTCTGCCGCGGCCGCCGCCTGCTGCCAAACTGTCGAACGGAGGGTTTAAGGTTCATCCCACCGATATGACCACTGGAGACCGCCGACGCAGCAGCTGCCCAAAGCCCAATGCCGCCACGAAGGTAACGGCCACGAACCTCGTCATCCGTGAGCGAGGATCACTCCCTCATATGCCTCCTCCTGCCCCAGTTCTGTCTGCTCGCCCGAGTCGCGCCGATCAGGATGACGAGTCTTTCAGAACTTGGAGACTCTCCCAGTACATTCCCCGAGGCGAAAGCCAGACGGTGCTCCCCCTCCCTCTTCAACCCCAGGATATCCCCCTGCCTTTGGATGACCAAAGCACAACTGCCATTGACGACAAGGATGGCTCCGAGGCCCAGTCTCAGTGCGGTACTTTCAGCAACAGCTCAACCGTTTGCGACGCGGAGAAGCTCGATAACAAGCTCGCAGCCGAGCCCATTGGCGCATCACAGCCCGCCAGCACTTCCGAATCTGCACAGTCTCAGGATGGCAGTGGCTGGGAGACCTGGTTGCTCGCCGAAAAGCTCACGTCCCTGGAAGATTCCATCGCAGTTCAGGACTTGACTGGCAAAAAAAAGGTCTTAGCCGAGGAGCCAAAGGTGGAAGCTTCAGCTCTTCAGCAAGGTTCTTGTCCGAAGCCGCAGGACACTTTGCCTTTGAAGGATGACTTGGAGGTCAAGACCAGTCTGGTCGGCGGAACGTCCGTCCCAGTGATCGAGCCGTCGTACTACCCGTCATCCTCGGTCTACTCTTCGGCACAGAACACAGGCAACGTCTCACCCTCGGGCTTCAAGGATTCAAGCGGCGATGACAATCGCAACAGCATCGCCGAGAGTCTTATTGATCTCGATCTAGCCAACTTTGATCGTACGTTTTCTCAAATTCTCATTTGTCGCATCCCGACTAATCACACAGCAGTATTCAATAATCTCAAGGAGCAGCCTTCCGATGAGAGTTACCGCACCGCCCTGGACAAGAACCCCGACTCGGAAACGGCCGTATCAGCTGCCATTCTGCCATCCGAGGAAGGCCCTGGCACAAGTGGATTTAACACTGGGGACAAAAACCATCGCAAATATGATATCTTAAAGAATGTCTCCGTCACAGAGTCCCAGAGATCTGCTTCACTCAATGGTCCAGAAGAAGGGTTTGATGGATCCCAGGCCGATGTGCCTAACGGTGGCAATGTGCCCACTCGGAAGTCCTCATTCCTTCAATTCCTCGGTATTCGCAAAGACTCCAGTATCAAGGGTCGCCGACATTCGTATAGTCAGTCCTCCACAGATCATGTACGATTGAGTCCCTCGTCGGTGTCAAACCAAGTACCCAAGGGGCAAGGTCACACCAAAAGACTTCTGAGTCACAGCATCACCCCTTCGACGCAGCAGGGCCCAAGTGATGACGCATTTACTGCACCTGGGCTCACGGAAAGCGCCACCACAATCTGGCAGCGAGCCTTTCAAGTTGAGCACGATCAGCGTCAGACCAAGTCCACCAAGTCCACTACAGAGGCCAAGAAGACTGCCGGCGCTAAGTACATTATGGGGCCTATCTCAGTCACCGTTACCAACGCCTCTCACATTACAGACGGGGATGCAGCTGAATCTCGCCACGGAGCAGTCAAGGCCCCTAATTCCATGGCAGCAAGAAACGCCAGCCAATCAAGCACCTCTCAGCAGTCTCTGTCTGGCATCATTCTTCCCCAGAAGTTGGAGAACAACGAAGATGTCGCAGGCACCAAATAGAGTCTGGGCCTTCAAAAGCTTGCCGCACCTCCTGCTTCATGGGCCAAATGGTCCTCACATGATAGAGCCAAGAGAACTGGTACTGCCAGCCTGGATGACGATGTGATGCCGAAAGACTTTATGGCAGTCCCTGGCTCGGAAATAGCGCACGGCGTTGACTTTGCTAGCAAGACTTCCCTTCCAAATGTCGTGGAGATCAAGAACCGTTCTCAATCCATGTCGAAGAAGATTGGCAATGCCATGAAGACCAGCCTGGGCAAAATGATGCCGTCCAAGCCAGGTGCCAAATCACCTGCTCAGCTAGAATACCCCGAGCTTGAAATCCTGCCCACCAAGGAAGGTTACAAAGACCTTGAAGCGCTCCAAAGAAGCATCGAAACATTGAAGGGCAGCGAGTATGCCAAGATGGCCACCAATCCAGCTCTTGCTATCGCTGATCTGGAGGACAAGTCAGCGTCCTCTTTGAGGACTCTGCCTGCGCAGCTCCACGAAGCTGAGCACGCGAGACACGATTCTGCCAAAGGTACCGCCAACTCACCCGTTCGCAATGATGTTGCTTTTCAGAGCAAGGACGCTCATGGCGATGGTACTGAACCACCGTCCATCCGACCCGTGACACCGGCCAACATGATCACGCTTCCTGCAGGAGACTCAACTACTGCCACAACTGAACTATGGGCTACCCCGGCCAGTCGTCTCTCTTATACCACGGCTCTTGATGAGAATGACGCAGGTGAGTTTTACAAGGCCTTGGAGCCTTGCTCTTCATAGGTGGCACCATTATTTCTATGTGTGATTTCCCATTGAACAATGCTGACTTTGGTTTTTGTATGCAGGGGATGATCTGCAAATTCAGTCTTGATTCCCATAACGCCTGATGTATGCCATGGCTGAAGTGCAGAGGTCCGGCTATCGACACTAGTACGATATCATTCCGTGGCGAAGAAGGATGGACTGCGGCACCTCAACATGATTTGGCACAGTATGATGACGCTTGCGGAGAGCAAGGAATGTCATGAATAAACGAGGCGGTTTTGTGGCTTGGAGAAAGTGTCGGAAAGAGCATTCATATTGGCCATGAAACCAGCTTTTTGTATGGTGTAGAATGGGGTTGAGGTTTGAATTTCCCCAAGTGTATAGTTCCTGATAGGCAATGGGTTCCAAAGGCAATCCCTTCAAGCTGACCTAGGGTGCTGCGGTCACAATGCTTCGGTTGAGTCAGTAATCACTTCACATTCCGCCGAAACGGTCTGGCAGCTGATCAATGAGTTGGCGAGACTTCGACGAAAGCCAGTTGATTATATCGTGGAACATAGCACATCACAAATGTATGTTTGGTTCTAGCCATGTGTCGGTCCTTTAGATCATAAATCATGAATTGTTTGGTATCCTCCCCCAGACATCCAAACGCCTCCGTAGTCAATCCACGGTATCAATGCCCTTTGATGTATACATCGGCCCAGTGCCAAGTCCATCCGAATCACTTATAACTTCAACAAGCCCACAAAAAGGTCTCAGTTCCATCAAAATATCCACGGCCCGCACGACACGTATCGCCATACACGCGCGTGATTTATCCAAACAAGACATTCTCGAAGCTCTGCTGGTCTAAATGCCTGAATAGCACGTCCTGCAGCGCGGCCCTGCTCTTGACGATTTGCGGCACGACACCGTCGATCTGCTGGAGGTTGGCCCGCATGCTCTCCATGTGGCTGCCAACCTGACCCGCCAGGCCGCGCAGTTCATCATCCTCGAGGTCCTTGAACAGTGGGGTGCTGCCGACGCCCTCGTCGGGGACGATGAAGCCGAAGCCTGGCTTGTCGTGCTTGACAGTGTGATCGGTAGTGTTGGCGGCGCCGGCAGCAGCTGTGGCAGCGCCCGGCCTCCTAGCCTCCGGCACGAGGACGTGTGTCTTGCGAAGACTGTCCTTGAAGTTCCTGGCCTCGGAGCGGGCGTTGGCCTCCAGTGTCCTAAGGGTATCGTGGTCCTCCTCCAGCGCCTTCTCCTCGCGCTCCCTCTCGGCCTTGAGGAGCTCCACGGCGTGGAGGAGGGGATCGAGCTGCCTCTCAAGGGCTGCGACACCCTCGATGACGCGTTCAAAGTTGAGCTCCTCGATGCGCCCGCCATCCGTGTCCAGCAGCTTTCTGTTGCTCTTGCCTGCGGGTGGCACGGAGGCCGGCGGGAAGGGTAGGCCGCGGGAGAGCTTCTTAACGAGGCGATTCGTGATGAGGTGGAGGGCAGAGGCGGCCTGGTCACGGCGCTTCTCGCTGCCCGAGATGCGCTGGAGGACGGGGCGCTCGGCGAGGCGGAGGAGGTCAGAGACGATGGAGAGGGAGGGGTTCGTGAGGGGGGACCATTTCTCTTCTATTATCGAGCGGGGAACTTGGCGCACGCGGGCGGCGATGTGTCGGTGTTTAGGGACCCGGCGGGCTGTTTTTGGCGGTTCGGGCTTGGGTTGCTGCTGTTGCTGCCGTTTCTGTTGCTGTTTTTTCTGCTCTTGGATTTCGTCAGACGTGCGTCGACGGCGTTTCTTTGCAGGTGCTGCTGCTTCTGCTGTATCGTCTTCCGTCGGGCGTTTCTTGGATTTGCGCGGTTTGGAGTTTTGATTCTGTGGGGATGCAGCATCTGAAGTCCGAGGACGGCCAGGCCGGCGACGTTCCGTATCTGGTGACGCTTCTTCTTCCTCGCCTTGAGAAGGTCTCTTCCGCCGCTTTTTCGTCGGCTTATCAGCTGTTTCAGCTGTTGTCTCCTCTGCCGGTGCAGGCTGCTTCTCTTTCCGCCTCAAAGCTTCCTTTGGATCTGACTGCAACGCTTCTTGCGCCTCTGGTTTGGCTTGCGCTGCGGGACGACCGCGTCTTTTTTTGACAACCGCCGGTTCTTCTTCAGCTGGTTGCTCCTCCGTCTCCTCCACCATGACATTTGCCTTTCGTCCGCGTTTCTTCTCAGGGACGGACACGGCCTCGGCTTCTTCCTCGGGGGCAGGCTCCTCAGCCTCGGAAGCCTTTCCCTTGGGCTGTCCTCTTCGCTTCTTGGGTGTGACCTTCTCCTCGACTGCTTTCGATGTTTCTTCGGCTGCTGGTTTCCTGTCTAGAGACGGTCGTCCACGCTTCTTTTTAGGAGCCGGCTCTGGAGATGCAACCTCTTCGGGCTGCTCTTCCACGGTCTTCGCTGGACGGCCACGCTTTTTCTTGGTCGCATTGCTTGTGTTGGCCTCGTCTTCGTCCTGGCCTCCCTCGTTCGTCTCCTTTCTTGGCTTCCGGCCTGCCTTGCCTCGTGCGGCTTTCTCTCCTCGATTTATTGACTCATCTTGGTTGTCAACTTCTTTGGCGTCGTTTGAATTGCCCTTGGCAGCCTTCTTCGACTTTTGCTTCGCTTGCGCCGGCACGGATTCCTCCTCATTTACCACTTCTTCTTCTTCTTCTGTTGCTGCTTCGCGAGGTGGTCTGCCCCTCCTTTTGGTTGTGGCTTCCTCGACCGGAGGAGCCGCCTCGGCTTCCTTGCGTGTGCTTGGCCGACCGCGTTTCGCTGGTGCCGCTGCCTCCTCTGTTTCTGCAGCTTCGGGAGAACCTGGGGACGTGTCGGCCGTTCTAGACGCGTTTGAGGGGCGACCTCGTTTTCGCTTCTGCTCTCCAGCTTTGGGCGGCTGCTATTGTGTCAGCTGAAGTCAGAAAAACCAGAAGTATCAATCCTACCATTGTGATGTCTTGCGCTGTCAATGTTGTTCTGCGAGGCAAGATGCTCTCTCCGAGCGCATGCGCCTGTCAGCTCTACACGCTGTATGTGACCTCCAGACGCGTCCCCTCTACACAGCAGGTACGTATCTCACTAGGTATGGCAGCCCCATGTGGCTGATGCACGCGAACCCACTAATCGTGGCTGAAGGTTCCCCGGACCGCCGTTCCACCTGGGCGCCAGTCCCGTTCAGGTTAGGCTGCTTTAAGGAAGGACCTCACGTTCTGCGAGCTCCCATCCTGCCCAGTGACCCCAGTGGGTTTCACAGCGCTCTTCTGGATCCCCCCAGCGACCAAAGCTCCTTTGTCCCAGCCGGATCACCAACGGACAAGGTTCAGGAGAAGCCACACGCCCAAAAGGGTCCTCTCGAAACTGCCTGATTTCGCTCCTCTTCCACTTTTTTCCCACATCCGAACTCTGTGTCCTTTTTTCGTGTGTCCAAACTTCGCGCCGGAACCAGGTTGCCTATATACTTTAACCTCGTCAACCCGTACTTATCGTCCCTCCTTGGTCCTTGTTGTAGCTGTCGGCATTTCCTCCCTCTGCCCAGCTGTTTGTAATTACGCTTCCCCTCACCCGTCGTCTCTTGGCCGCTTGATCGCGACATACTGCTCCAAGCTACCTCCTTCTTTCCTCTCCGCAGAGCGACGTGTCCATCACAAAAGCAATCATCAACATGCGCGTGTCCGCCACCACTCTTCTTGCGCTCCCGCTGCTTGCGACAGCGGCCGAGTCGCCCTTCGAGCAGTACAAAGCGCAATTTCAGAACTTCCTGAGCTCCTTTGGCGCCTCTGCGCCCAGCGCTGAGAAGCCGGCTACCCCCGAGGCCGCCGTGCCTGATGCGACAGCAGTCGACAAGAAGATCTCTGTCTTGACCGTTGAGAACTGGAAGGATGTCCTCTACGAGCCCGTCAAAGCTGATGCCACTACCCCTGAGGAGTGGTGGGTTCTGATCACTGGTCGTAACAAGACTTGCTTCGGTATGCTCCGCATTTTCGCGTCACATTGCTTCATCTAGATCCTAATTGCTATTCACAGGCCACTGCGATAAGATCGAGACTGCCTTTAACGAGTCTACCATCAAATTCGCCAAGTTTCCCGAATCTCCTCATCTTGGTCTCCTTGATTGCGACGCCCAGCCCGTACTTTGCAACGCCTGGTCTGCCGGCACCGCATCCATTTGGTCCATCGGCTTGTTGCCCCCTGGATCCGATGTCGACGTCTACAGGAAGCGCTTGAACGTCACTACCACCACCTCGGACGACATTTTCGACCTGTGGGTGAAGCAGTCCAAGCAGGACTGGACCCTGACGGAGAACATTTTCCACCCCTTCAACAGCTGGATCGCCAAGAACAACCTGTCTGTCCCCGTTGGCTACGTTTTCTGGGCCTTCAACCTTATTCCCAACTGGCTTTTCATGATCCTCGTCTCCTTTGGCAGCCGTACCCTGATGAACCGCCGTATGGGCAACACCTTTGACAACCGCGCTGCTGCCGCTGCTGGTGGTGCTCCTCCCGCTGCTGCCGCCCCTCCTGCTGGTGGTGTTGCCCGGTAGATGAGGTTGAGTAACTTTGGATAGATGAAGAGGGGCTATAGGGCACAATGGTACTGTTTTGATATCCAGACAATCCGGGCAATTGAAAGGATGCAAATGAGGTCCCTGGTCATTTGGGTTATGTAGTGCCAAATTAGTAATCTTTAGTTGATCAACTTTTCCCGTCGCATGCATCTTGCACACTTTTGAGGCCTTGAATGACGTCTTCTCCGAGCTTGGGGTTGGCGAGGCGTCCGTAGCGGAGGTCGCTCATGCTACCAACTGTCTGTTTGACTGATTCCATGAGTTTGCTCTCCTGAGCTTCTAGCTCCTGAATTTCTGCTTCAACATCCGCTATCGCAGTGTCCATCTCTGGAACGATGGAGTTCAGTGTGTGTTTGGGATCTTGCGCCCCAGCCACGCCAAAGAGCTTTTGTATCAATATTAGGGACGCCGGTCTTCATGGGATACAGCCTGATCACGAAACTTACTGCTCTCTCAATCTCGAGCTCCTGGTCGGCGTCCTCGGCTGCTGCACGTTTCCGGGCACGGGCGATCTCGCGCTTGATGATCCTCCCGCTCTTCTCCTCGTTCTCAATGTTTTCCGTGACCGTGTCAACGAGCGTTCTCCTTTGATGCTGCAGATCACGGTACAGTGAACGGATTTGTGGGTTTGCGCGGTGCGGTTTTGGGAAGAGCTCGGTGAATTCCTCAAGCGTGATGGATGAGGGTAGCTGCGCCGGGACAGTCAGGTAATTATGCAGAATGGCGGCTTCGGTGGGCGCCATGATGGTTTGCGTTGTGAGATCGGCGGCTTTGCAATCGACAATTTCAACGAGTCAGTTGCTGAGAGATGCCAGAAATGGCCATGAGAGTTGCAAACGCGCCTAAGATAGCTTATTTGAAAGGAAATAGGTAGTCGTTAGCAAAAAGCAGGGCAGGGGGTTGGCACGGATGAAAAATGAGTTGTGAGGTGAGGTAGAGAGTAAGGTAAGGTATGTAAGGTAGGCAAGGCAGGTGGTATGAGTGGTGCTTGACTTGGGGCAGGCATGGAAGACGCGGTAGTTCTTGCGGGACGCGTTAATGAGCCGCAGCGCGTTTCACTCCGTAGGAAGAATCGACACTCCTTGCCATCTACACCTCATCCATCACGACTGCACCTCGCGAAGACGGCTCTGCCTACGACAGAATTCACAGAGAGAGAGAGACTGTCAAGTGCTCAAGAAAATCATCGTGAGATTGAACTTCCTTTCCTTTCATATTTGCCGTCAATCATGGCTAGAAACTGACCAGTCCCTCAGCTTTATACCGTGTAAGCGACTTGGCCAGCACTGTCATCCGGATTGGGCGAGGTGCCACGACGGATCACGGTTCGTACTGTGCGATCAGCCTCGAACTTGCGCCAACTGGTCTCGAAAGTGACTGTGTCTTAAGCTCCGGCGCACTGTCCGAGAATTTAACCTCACTGCCCCTTTGGTCTATCAGCCATTCGAATACATCCAGGTTATCGCCAGAACAGGGCTGTCGGAAATCTTGACTGGAACGCTGCGCTATTCACAGTAGATATACCAACCCGCAGACGCCCCAAACGACCATGGCGCCCGCACGCCAACCGCCCCAGCCCTTCTCAAAGGAGGAGAAGGTTCTCTGTTTCCATGGTGAGATGCTGTACGAGGCCAAGATTCTCGACATCCAGCCTGCCGAGAGTGGCGAAGGCTTTCAGTATCGTATCCATTATAAGGGTTGGAAGAACACCTGGGACGACTGGGTTTCTATCGATCGCATCCGCAAGTTCACAGAGGAAAATAAGGAGCTTGCCAGCCAGCTGCACGCCCAAATGAAGGACCTGCGCCAAAAGAGCAGTGCCAAAGCCCCCAAGAAGGGTATTCGCGTCAATGGGACCGACTCAGCTCGTGGTAGTGAGGAACGAACGGCAGGTGTCGTTGCCACTGGCCGTGGCCCTCGACGGGCGAGAGATTTTGACCTTGAGCAGGTGAGTGCCGAAACCGAGTTTCTTTGTGTCTTGCTTTCTGTTCTGCGCCTGTTCCAATTTTGGTTCCTCCCGGCCTGTCATTGTACCTTGCCTCCAAGTAGAGGCCCATTGTAAAGTGAGCATGAAACAAAGTCCGAAAGACGCAAAGGACCATAGGGGGCGAAAACCCTCATCTAGGTGAGGCCGTCGAATTGGCCCTGCAAAGGCTGTAGTGTCACTGGCAATCGAATAATGCCGGGCCTCTTCACCGCTGGGTAACTGCTTTTCATCCCGTCGAAGGTCAGAAGGCGATGTGAATCGGCGTCCATCGAGGCACCTGCCAAGGGGAAAAAATCACCTTCCTGCCCCGACAAGCCTTCGCTGGTCAAGCTTTTTCCTCAGCACCTCCCAACACCACACCTTTCTCCGATCTCCCACACTCCTCCCATTCATACCGCTTCTCGTCACAAATCGCTGGTTCGATTTCTTATTCTCCTCGGCATATCGACAAAAGTCATCCCCTCTTAATCATACTTGACCAAGAAATCATTCGTTTCTTGCCTCGAGATTTCAGGATATTATAATCACAAATTCCACCAAACACTGCCGCCCAGGAGACAGACAAGATGAACTCTCAATCTTGGGAAGAATTCGCGCGGGTCCAGGATTGGGTTCTCTCGCAGCAGGCTGCGCCATACTCTGAAAACCAACCCAATTACTACTCTTCGTCGCATTCCGGCTATGCGCTTCGCCCAGACTACTCCGGCCGACCGGCCCATGCCTTGGAGAGTTATGGACAGCCCTATGACGCTCTAGAGAGTCGTGGCATATTCGAGCACCACGGCGGCGATAACCACGACAATTGGCTTCTGAACCAACCTGTTTCTCGCGCGGAGGATGTTAATGAGCACGGAATTCGACACGAAGTCGCACCTCAAGACGACGACAACGAGGTTTTGACCAAATTTGCTAGTGATTTGGACTTCGAAGACGATGAAAGACCGGCTCCGGCTTCTAAATGTAACGACTCTGAGGAGCCGATATCCGACGACGACGACGACGAGAAGGTCAATCGGCGACGCAAAAGAGTTCAGATGGAGTCAGATGAAGAGGAAGATGCGGCATTCCCCAGGCAACACAAACGGCGCCGAATGTATTCGGATGAGGACGAGGACGAGGACTGTGAACATGAGGAGTTCTTGATTCCGAACCAATACGACTCCGATGAGGAAGATCAGGAGATCACCCCACTATCCAAAAGGCGTCGGGTGCACTCGGACGAGGACGATGACGAGGAAGATAACGAGGACGATGACGAGGAATATGATGACGAAGATGAGGTGCGCATGATTCTGAGGCAGTGCGACTCCGATGAGGAAGAGGAGGAGATCTACCCACTACCCAAAATATGTCAGAAGCATGTGTCCGAGGACGAGGACGAGGACGATAACGAGGAAGAAGAGTTGCGCATGATTCTGAGGCAGTGCGACTCCGATGAGGAAGATGAGGAAGAGCTCTATCGGCAACCCAAAAGTTTTCGCAGATACGATGAAGGTCAGGCAGATGATGAAGATCAAGCAAACGACCAAGCCTCAGAGTCCCACGACGGTGTGGACTACGCCGCCATGGTCGACCCTAGATGCTACGACATATCGCTTCCAAGAGCGGGCCCTCCCCCCAATCTCGAGAACATCGAGGCACGGCACAACGCATTTCTACCGCAGTGGAACGTCGTCGACTGGCATCCGCCGGCTAGAAATCTTGAGTCGCCTCCCAACCCACACATCAATAAGGCTGTCGACATCATAAGCATCTCTAGCGATGACAGCGACGACGCCGCTACCAGTACTGCCAGTGACTCCAGTTTAGAGATCCTCGGGGAGCGGCCTGCGAAAGCCTGCATCGACAACAACCAACACCTACGAAACGTCGAAGATGGCGAGTTGGAAGATTCCAATTCCAAGGATTTGGTCAATGGGCTTCCGCAAAAACACGGCTGCGCAGGGTTTAATAAGAGAAAGCGTGAAAGCAGCGTCGAGATCCTCTTCGAATTCCGCCGTAATATTCGACCCAAGCAGCAGCAGCAGCGGTAGGTTGGGGTTGGCTCATCACACCATCAGACACATTGTGCGGCTGGTTCCGCCTACCTAGTAGGAGCGACCACAGACTGCTCCTTCCCGCAGTAGAACGACAATGGTACCGACCTATCACCGGATTCCCATCCCTCCCTTCTCAAGTCGCCTCTGAAGCTAGGACAAGCTCCCTCCCGTGTCCATTTCTTTCAGACTCATCCTCAACCAACTGGATATTTCGATCATCGCAAAAAGGCAACGCCTTGACACTACAGTCGACTCTGCAAGCACCGCTTGTATTCCTTACGTACTCCTCACATTCATCATGGCTGTCGCGTCTCGCAAACTTCGGCCGGCCGACTCAGTGCGTCGGCGACCTCATAACGATAAAGGAGCGACTTGGAAGGAGCCGCGCTTGCTGAGGGCAGATAATCTGACCACTTCGCCTGCTACCCGAGCCAGACCCTATATCACTAAAGACGGCAAGCCCAACTATGACAATCGCTACGACATGAGCGTCACAACTCTCAAGCGAGAACAATCTTCCCGGACGAAGTCGTCGGCTCGCTCTCCAGAATCGACCAAGGAAGAGCTTCCGACTGTGAGTTTACACGAACACAGTAGTTGCCTCAGTGGGAGGCTTCGGCCTGTGCACATCTCATGAGGATTGGTATCGGGAGAAATCATCATCATCAATCGAACAGCCCAGTGGCCTTGGCGTCTTTTCGTGCTTCTTTTCCCCCACTTTTTTGGCGTCGTGACTGCCGGTTGACACGAGTACTAATATCATACAACCAGGAGGACGGATTTCATGCGCGTCCGTCAATCAAGCTGCCTATCCCTGACCACATCAAGGCCATGCTCGTTGACGATTGGGAGAATATCACCAAGAACAACCAACTGGTTCCGCTTCCTCACCCCCACCCAGTTGATGATATTCTGAGCGACTACCTCAACTACGAGCGCCCCAACAGAGAAGATGGCTCTGCGAACATGGATATTCTCGAAGAAGTCGTCGCAGGACTGCGCGAGTACTTTGAGAAGTCTTTAAGCCGGATCCTACTGTACCGGTGAGTCCTCTGCTTTGACTTGGCATCCCAAGCCCTGCTAATTCCATCGTAGGTTTGAGCGCCCCCAGTACCATGAGATCCGTAAGTTGTGGGAGAAGGCTGGCGAGGAAGACAAGCACAAGTCTGTCTGCGACACTTATGGACCTGAACACTTATGCCGCCTGATGGGTAAGTCACATTGAGGCATTTGGTCCATGGCGCGGTACTAATACAAATCAGTATCTCTTCCCGAGCTCGTTGCTCAGACAAACATGGACCAGCAATCCGTGGCGCGTCTGCGTGAGGAACTCTCCAAACTCACTGTTTGGCTCGGCAAAAATGCGAAGAACTACTTCGTCAGCGAGTACGAAACCCCTTCTCAGGAGTACATCGACAAGGCTCGGAGTTTCTAGGCGGCCAGGCCTTATCTTGCATCCTAAGTTGAAAGATGAGTCGACCAGACGGCAGACTGTTCGATGTTCCATCTCGACCGTTTTGCGTTATTGGAATTCCGGTACCTGGACATGCAGGCTTGGCGAAGGGTTTTAGTTGGAGGGAGCGGGGAAAGAACACCCATTAGCTTTGTATTGTCTGCTAGTATCAGGCATACTCAACCAGTACGAAGGGTTGAGACAGTTACATAATCATTGTTTTTCACTTGCAAACTTGCCCCTTTCTATGAATCTTGGCATCTTGAGAGGCAAGCAAATGGTCACGGTCCATGGAATACCTCATTTTACTCTTTCTTTGTAACTTTCAGCTACCAGGCATGCAGTTGTCAGCATAACTGGTGGGCCATGTGCCAATGAGCAGATGAACCCGAGCTCCCGATAGCTAGTTTTGAGTGAACTTTTTCGTTTGATTCCAAATAACTTGACGCAGACACTCTCGTCTACGTATGTTGTTGTACAGTCTGCTATGATTTTGTACAAGGTTTTTTCGTGGTGATGATACACGATTTGATCTCTGTTCCGTCGAGAGCTACCAAGAAGCCCTCTCATGCCCGAGGAGCCTCTTCAGCAGCTCAGACGGCTCTCCCATATTCGCCCTCCCGTCTTCAATTCTTCGACTCGCCAGGTTTTCAATCCATCCCCTTTGATCGTCCCCAGCTCTTTACCGCGCAACGGCCTTCTCGATGTAGAACCCGGGATCCGGCCTCCGCAGCTCGCGCATCTCGGGCTGGGTCATGGCGCGGTCGACCTCCTCGACCTTGACGAGCTCCTTGACCTTAATAATCATACCGGCGAACTGGGGGCTGACGGGGTGGAAGACGGTCTGGGAGCGGCGGCGCAGGCCGAGGGCCTCGAGGACGCCGCGGGTGCTCTTGGGCAGGCCGATGGCCGAGCGGTGGAGGGTGATGCGGAAGAAGGACATGGTGGACAATTCTGGTAGGTAGTGAGGGGCCGTCTGTATGCGCTCCGGCTTGGGTCGTGGAGTAGGGAGGAGGGTTTGCGCTGGTGGTTGTCGCGTGTCCGTCGCTCGTTCGAGGTCGCTTGCTTCTGTTGAGGGATTGATGCCGGCTCCTATTGATTGGAATGATGCCACGTGCGCTATGAGCTGGTAATTGCCGTACAATTGGATATCTGGCGAAAGAATCGTTTCTTTGGTATCGTGGTGTCGTGGGAAGTCAGTGACCAACCTACTCAAGAACTGCCTGGTCATGCGATCGAGGGATCCGAAAATCATTAAGCTATTCTTGGAATTTTGATGGTCCGTGCGCTCATCGCGACGGAAGATGCCGGGCATGGTCAACTCGGTCTCCACTTGTGACCTCGGGGGGAGTTAAAATCACAGTGCAACCCGCGATCTTCACGCAGCAGACGCCCAGCTGAGACAGGCGATGATTATAGTGACACAGGCGACCAGTATGCTCGCGCTCTCAGCTATAGATGGATGGCATCATGAAGGCCAATCAACGTGGGGCTTACCCTGCTGGTTAACGACCTATCGCGGACGGAAGGCTCTGAAAGTTTTGAATAGCTAATTGACAACGTTGACGTTGGGATAGTTTTTCCAAAACGATGTCGCTGCGATAAATCTACCGCCTCGATGGGCTCATCATCCCTTCTCGGCACGAAATTCACATGCATCACACAGCTCTTGTTGGGAACTCGGATAATAAGCCGGACTTGGATGGATCTAGGAAGGCTTGTCTGCTGCCGAAGTCTTGTCGGCTGCCGAGGCATTTTGAGAGGTGGCGACAAGGCCGCTTCACACCCACATGTGCTCATTATTGTGCCAATTCTTCAACAAACCTGAACAAGAAGAGCCGGTGTACGGCGAGGGGCTGGCATTGGTCTAAAATGGATTTTTGGTCCAGGGAAGAGGATATAGTCACTCTAGATGCAGCGATGGTGGGAATCTCTCGCTTCCAGCTGCGGTGACTTTCCGGGTGGCCTTCAAACGTAGCACAGTGGTATTGGTCAAACACTGGCGTTGGATACCTAGTCGCATCTATCTTGATCTCTAACCCTTGGCGGCGAAACTGTGATCACATTCAGCATTACTCTCTCTCTCTCTCTTTGCACGTCGCTCAAGTACCTATGTGCTTTACTCAGAACACCGTCGTAATGCAGCATGGCGTTAGCCAACTAAGCTCCTCTGGTCAGGGCGTCAAGGAAATACATTTAGTGACTCGCCAGGTGTCGAATCATGCGCATTTTCCCTCCAGCGCTGGGGCGTACCATCTTGGAGAAAGTTTCCCAACTTGGCTCAAGATCATCTTGCGTCGGTAAAGTGTTAAAGACGTAAGCTTATGTGCTGCTAAGGGTAGTGAAAACAGATAACTCTAGAGGGTAGCGTGAAGCAAATCCGTCGCGGTTGAGCAAGAGTCGGTTCGAGCGGCGCAGGAAGTCGAAGTTAGACGCAGATGTTCGCAATTATACTGGGGTAGATTGATTTGCCCAGTAACTATGAAATGAAAGTCGATGATCAGGCGACCACATTGCGTAGTATTCTAGCTCTTCAACGTCGACGGTGGACCTCACTCAGACGGCATACACGGCTACTCATAGGGCAGCATTTACACATGGGAACTTAATGACAAGCCAAAAGTGATGTTCGCGAAAGAATTCCGATTGACGACATTTGAGCCTCAACCACACCCGAGTTGTTCTCATGGGCAAAGGGGCACTAACTAAGGCGTCATTTGGTAACGAACTCTCGAGGCATGCATGACGGGTATCTCAGTAGTAAAATGACACATTAAATAAGCTTTGGCAACGTCATCGTTACGCCAATCGACGTCGCGGCGTTAATCTCGTATCATTTTTGGAGCCATGTCCCCAGACTTCCTCGAGAGTCGACAGACCATTGTCAACGTCATGTAAACCTACCGAATATTTAACAGTACAATCTTGAAGCAAAGGCTGAAGCGCAAGGTCAACGTCCCCAAAATAGCAAGGCTAGATAGAGCACACGCCCCTCCCTCTATATCATAAGAACGAAGAAAAGTTCACCGTCATATCGAGATACAACACACGGCGTTTACAGAGATGACATGTGGAGGCCCTTTCTGTCTATTGTAGGATGAAGTCGCAAAATTTTATAGCATACCGAGTCTGTTCGCCTCCCAGCAACGTATGTGTATCTAATGGGCCAACCCACCTCAGAGGTATCCTCAAAACAGCACATTCAGGACCCGCAATCTCAAGTTGGAGCGAACGTCACAGGCTCGAGCCAGCTTAGATGACGTTTGGCCAGCTGTCAAAGCCTCCTATGGCCTGAACATCACTATTCGCTTACCAACCCGATATTGACCCCAAAACACTGATCAAAGAACACCATTGTCACCAGGCTGACATCGAATTGGCCAAATAGTTGCCGCTTGGGCGGCGAAAGCTGCTCACTTCCCACTAGCCCTAAATCATGCATGGCAAGAAGTAGGAGGCCGTCTCCTTTCCGGACCGGTTCATCAGCTCGGTCCGGATGACCCAGCTAATTTGAGATGTTTGATTTAAGCTTATCCTAGAGCTCCATCGAACGCTGATGTCGGCCCGCCCATCCAATGAGATTGCCGCCGCTGCCAGGGCACAAGCGCGCCTTTAGTGTCTCGGGTGAACCCGACTTGTTGGTCGCCAACCAATCTAGGTAACAAGCATATCACGTCGAAAGCAGGATTTGACAAGACAATGGGGCAAAACCATTAGTATATCCCTGGGGGACTGCGCAGCACTACACGTATATAGCTTGTCGTACAAGACGCCATTTAGCACACCATCATCCCTCGCATGACGTTAAAATCATAGACTCCATTTCTATAACCACATCCCGTGGCAAACCGTAACCTTCCGCCGCTAACCGTTGAATGCTTACATCTGCACCTCCACTCTGCCCTCGGCGCCTGGTGCGCCTGAACCGAGCTGGGGAAGGATGTAGGTAATGTCGTCCCATGGGTGACGGTACAGACCAGTGCGGAGTCTCTTCTGGTCGAGGTAATGGGCAATAAGACCGATGGAACGGCCGAGAACAAACAGGCCGTTGAGGACACCCATCTTGAGGTAGTCTTCGGCCTCTTCAGAGGAGAAGGCACCGCAGTTGCGCATCAGATCAACAAAGCAGACAGCAATGCAGCCATCGACATTGAGAATGAGGTTATCCTTCTTGGAGGTGGTGACGGTCTCGACAGCCAAGGCGTAGTCGAGGAGCTTGTGGGTGGGGAACTTCGCCTTGACGTACTCCTTGACAAGCTCGACACGGAGATCGGGGTTGTTGCGGGACTTAACACGGTGGCCAATACCGGGAATGAGCTTGTTCGCCTTGCGCATGTTGTCGACGAACTCACGGGGGCTCAGGCCCTTGTCGAAGGCCTTGGTGAACTCCTCGGCGGCTCCGTCAAGGGCACCACCGAAGCGGGAGCCAATCGTCAGGAGACCAGCGACAAGGGAGGAGATGAGGTCCTTGCCGGCACGGGTGGTGATAATGGTGTTCATGGCACCGGACACGGCAGGGCCGTGGTCGGCAGTAAGCATGAGAACCATCTCAAGGAACTTGGAGGCGTAGGGAGGCAGGCGGCGACGGAACCACAGGAGGGACATGACACCACCGATACCAATCTCTTCCTTGAAAACGTCGGAAATGGGCATGCCAGCGTACAGAAGCTCCTGACCACGGTCGTCGGAAATGGTGGAGATGAAGGCTGCAGGCTTACGGATGAGACCGAGCTCCTGGGCCCAGGAGTAATCAATGGGGATCTTGGGAACGACGGGCTCAGGCTGGGGCTTGATGGTGCCGTTCTTGACAAGGCTGTCGTAGAGAGCCTTCAGGACCTGGGGCATATCCTCGAAAGTCTCGGGGACGTAGAAACCAGCCTGCTTCATCTTTTCGTTCTTGGTCTTGGCTGTCTCCAGGGTGGAGTTGGCAAAGGCACCGGCGTGACCGAATTGAACCTCAGTTTTGAACATGCTAGCGCAGGTACCAATGGCCCAGGCAACGATGGGCTTGGTAATGACACCGTCCTCAACGGCCTTGATAACCTTGTACTCCTCAACACCACCAACCTCACCGAGCAGGACGAGGATCTTGCAGTCGGGATCGGCCTGGTATCTGAGCAAGTGGTCGATGAAGGTGGTTCCGGGGTATCTGTCACCACCAATGGCGACACCCTCGTAGACACCGTCGGTGTTGTTGGCGATAATGTTGTTGAGCTCGTTGGACATACCACCAGACTTGGAGACGTAACCGACGGAGCCCTTGCGGTAGAGCTTGGAGGCAACGATGTTGTCCATCATGCCACCAGTGTTACCGATCTTGAAGCAGCCGGGCTTGATGCCACCAACAGTGGCAGGGCCAATGATGGTGATTCCCTTCTGCTGAGCCTTGTGGGCGATCTCACGAGCGCGCTTGGATGCTTATTAGCGAAACGAGAACCGTCCAGGGGAGCAAAAGCCAGACTTACGCGCTCGGGGACACCCTCAGCGATGATGGCAATAGTCTTGATTTGGGGGAACTCCATCAACTCCATGGTGGAGGTGTAGACACTTCGGGAAGAGGCGAAGTTGACGACAACGTCAACGTCGGGGTGCTTAGCAATGGCCTTGGGGACCTCCTGGTAGACTGGCAGGAGGGTCTCGCTGGTTCCCCAGTACATCTTGCTGACGAACTGACCACCGAAAGTGTAGATGATGCCGGCAACGGAGGGGGTCTTGCGCTTGCAAATGAAGTCGAAGTCGAGCATACCCTGAACGGCACGGGGCTGCAGACCGTAAACGAAGCATCTGGTCTTGTCGTTGAACAGAGCGTGTTCGGGAAGAGGGCTCAAGGGACGGCTGGGAGCCGTGAAGCGTGTGATGTTGTCGTTGGCAGACAAGCCGCTGGCTGCCTTGGCGCCATTGGCACCGTTAGCGGGGGTGGTGGCCGAAGGCATTGTGAAGAAAGTCGAGCTTCGTCGGCGAGGATGAGAGTCTCAACAGAGAAGAAGAAAAAAGTCTGGCGAGGGGTAACAAGGTTAGCAAGCTTGTCGAAGCAGACAATGGGCGCCAGTAACAAGTCTAAAGATGTCTGCCCGCGAGAGGAAAGTGTCCAAGTAAGGATTGGAAAGGTTGAAGGTGGAGGAGGAGTAAGAGGAAGTGTGGTAGAAAACAAACGAGCCGGAATTGTGGTGGGGAGAAGGTAAGATTTCAGGAGGGACTCGGAGGACGACTGTTCGCAGGAAGCTGAATTCGTTGGATCTGCGAGGCTACATGCTCATCGGCAGCTGGGGACACCACCAGACATTAAGTGGATCTTTGAAGCTGGCGTAGCCCCAG